TGAATAACCTCATATCTTTGATTTTACTAAAAATACACAAGCAGGAAAAGTGTGCAGTAAACTTAATATTAAAGGACCATTTCATCTTGTAATTTCAGAGCAGTCACACACGTGCACAGAAGGAAGGCATGTGAAAAGTGATAAAAATTACAAATAATGACCTTATGAAGAAAGCAGTGCTTTAAAAAAATAAATTGAATTAGAAAGAAACACAGATCTGCAGGCATTTTGAGATCCAAAGTAGCAGTTGTTCTGCACCAGAGATCAAATATATGCCTATGCCTACAGGTGGTCATGGATGCATCAATGCAGACCTGTGGGAGAGCAGGTGATGCATTGATTGTGGGAGCAGTCACTGTAGAAATTGCTAGACGAAGTTCTTTGAAAAAAGAGGATTTAAAACCAAAGAGGACTTAAGATTGCATGAAGTAGTTGTCCAGTGGTTAAAATAGACAAGTATTTCTATGTCCTTTGGAGGCTCCTGATTCTTTGGGTATTTAGGAGCAGGTTTAAGGAGGTACCTGGCTTGTAGTGTAAGCACAAGGACCATTGTCAACATCAGCTCCACTCCACCCGGAAACATGGGAGCTGTAGCTGCAGCCTGCCCTTGACTGCAAGTGGCATTGGGCTGCCGCAAGTGGAGAACGTGAAAATAGGGAACTGAAAAATAGCCCACCTGCTCACAACTCTGTGTTGCACAGCATGGCCAGAAAAGAAGAGAAAGATGATAAAAAATGGAGAGGATACTGCAAAAGCTCAGTCCTTCTGCCATCAGAACTGGTGTTTTTCTTCTTTTGGGATTTAGTTTTGCATGTTGTTTACATTTCTTAATGGTTTTAAAAGCTAAGCTGCTTGTTGGTAGGGAACTGATCTGGCAACACCTTGCTTTTTTTTTTTTTCCCTTTATAAAAGCATTATTTTAGGTTCACTAATTATCTGTGTTTAACACCACTGTCTGCTTATTTTTGAGGAGCTGATTGATCGTGGATGTTCCTAAATATTTCAGTAACAATATGAAAAAAGCCACTGATGTGATGACCCTGAATTCCAAACAAGCAATCACACAGTTCTGTACTTAAAAAGGTTTGGATCAGGGCAAACCGACTATTACCAATGTGGCTCATCAAGTGAGCTGGGGACAAACCTCCTTGAAGATTATCAAAAACCTATTCAAGGATATGGAGGACTTAAAAATCTGTTCATCAATAGGATCTGCCCTTGGAAAAGGGGCACTGTGCTGGCAGTGGTTTGTGCATTTGTACACTGCATCCTTTTTTCCCATGTTCGAAACTTGAGATGTGCATCCTGTCAGGATGGAGGAAAGGGCAGCGTGCAGTCAAAATGCACTGAGCTCAGTCCAAGTGCACAGGCTTCAGAAGCATGAAGAGCTAAAGAAGCTCTTAGTCATGGGGGCTAAAATACTTTGCATCTTGGAAACGTGTAGAATTCATTTTTGGTTTTTATGACTTACCATAAAGTTATTCCTGCCAAGTTGTTCCTGATAAAAAGTGGGTATCCCTGTGCAGGAGTGGGGGCACACTGCATACAGACAACGTGGAAAGCAGAGACATCTGCAGTGGGGAGTGCCACTAAAATGCATGTCTATTGAAATCTCCCATAGGTGGGAAGGAAGATATTCACATACTGACTCTGCTTTATTCACCAACAGCACAATCCCCTTTGCAAGATAGCCTGGGATCGCACACTGTTCTCATTTCACTTCTCGTCTCAACAGATTGCTCTGCCTCTGTTTTGTGGGAATGCAGGCGCTTTCATTGCAGTCTGACTCATGAGATGTAAGCCATATATGGCCTGAAATTTGGGTTATTCAGCTAATTGTCCTAAATTGTAACTACAGAGGGCTGAGCACATAGGTATTTCAGTGTGATCTGCAGTAGAAATGAATCAATTTAATTATAATGTATTCTTAAACAGACACAATCTTCCATAATCCCATAATATTCTAGAATTACAATATAATGACTTTATATTTCTATAATATGTTTTGATATTTTTAGAACTTCATAATTCTGGAATAATTTTATATTTCTATAGGTATTTCCATGTAGAAAAAGAAGCAGCTACGTCTGTACCTGTAACAGCATAAGCTGTTGTTTTTCTGGTGTATATGTCCATTACCAGGATAGCAATTTAAATATGAAAGTCCAAATAGACAGGATTTTCATAACTTTCAAGTGCAGTTGAAACATCTAGATTAGTGTCTACTTTGCAGACTGCCCCCTGGACAAGATGATTAAGGCACTTTTCTTCTGTAACTGGAGGCAAAGTTGTTTCCTGGCCTTGGGATGTAGGAGACATTGAAAGGCGACCACGCACTGCAATTTTCATGATTATATCTGTAGTATGTGAAGGAATCTATCAACATATAATCCTTAAAATATTGATCCTGCAGAAAAAGCCCGATACTAGAAGGGATTGTGTGTTATCAAACTTGCTGTTCACATGGCATCTATGCAAGACAGTCATGGAGTCGCGTTGCAGGTTCATTGATCTCACCTCTGCTTTTGTCCTGACTTGCTGCAGGGAGTCTTGGGGTGGGGTTGGGTGTAGCTCTTACATACAACTATTTCAGGGTCTTTATTTTTCATTTAATTATACTGCCTTTCAGCAATATAGTTGCCTCATGGCCCTTCAGGACATGCTATCATGAGGGAAATGCCATTGAAAGAAGAGCCACAGTCAGCTGCGGGAGCTGCAGAGCTCCCCTGAAAACCAAGTCAGTTCTTTAAATGTTCAAATAGAGTCCAACAAATAGAGCTAACTCCAAGTGCTTGTTTTTGTTAGCTGAACTAATCTTTTCTCCTTTCTAAGTGCTGAAATGATAGCTTAAAACTGTATCTGGTATATTAGATTAATTCTGCAGCTGATTGTAGTCTATAAAATTACTATATTGAAGCTCCCAGTATTTGAGTTTATTGAGGTATAAATACTAGAATGTGGTGTGCTATACAGTTCAGCTGCTTCCTTGTTGTATTTTTCTGAGTCTTTTTGCTTATTTTATTTCTGTGATACTCAAGACAAATAGTTTCCTGGGTTTGATTTTGTCCTGACATTTTTTCATCAGGCTAGTTCTTAACACCATAGAATTCAAAAAGATGAATAACATTTTCTGTATACTGTTTACATTTTAAAAAGCAAAACTTCTGTTAAGAGTATTCCAGATGTCTCCAGGCAGTAGGAAATGTAGTATACAGTTTAATAAAACAGCAAATACAGCAGAAGGATTAAAAAGTAGTGCATGTTAGCAAATGGTCAGAATTTAAACACTAGTCAACACCAGGTTTTCATTTTAGGTGAGTGAAATTCACATGTGAAGTATTAAAATTTAACTTTATAAATACATTTCTTTATGACCAAGACACTGTGCTTTTCCAAGTCGTCTTTAAAACTTCCTTTTTCATTTAACTTTTATTAGATTTTTCTAAAATGGAATAAACTTAAAAGCATTTTAAAAAAGTTAAACCATGAAGGCTAAAAGCAAAGCAGATATATCAACAGCAAAAATATGAAAGCCAGGTCCCTTGTTCCTCCGGTGCAATATGGGGGAGCCTCTTTGTGTTGCTGTGTTCTCCACTGCTGGCATGCTTCCCCACAGCAGCACTTGTTGCAGCCACTCTTTTTTATTTCTTCAAATCCCAGTCTCCCCGATCACACCTGCTTTGGTGTGATTGGGTGCATAAACCCCTTAGATGATTTGAGAACGTGGTCTAAAGAGCAATTAAATCAATGGGAGTCTTTGATGTTGAAAGGGGCATTCTTTTCAGATGTCTTTTGCCGGAGGGAAGTTTGGCTTCAGCAAGGGGAGAATGTCTTTGGTGGTGAGGTTAATTTGGTACCGGCATCACTGCTTGGTGAGATGGAAGGAAGTGGCATTGCCATCCCTCTGGGCTCTTAAGGAACAGGTAGACAAATTCTAGGCAGACATCCGCCAGGTGAAATTTTGTTCAGGGAATGGACCAACTGACCCTTATTTCCAGTGACTTCTGTGTCAATTTTTAAGGCACTGGTGTCAACATGCCTGTCAGATGCTACTTACAGTAGCCGAGTGTTGCTGAAAAGGTGCAGACACTGCGTATTTGGTATTCTTGGAAATTCAGGTCTGTGGGTCTGTTTTAAACCTTCACCTGTTTGCTTAAACTGTTCTTGATCTTTTTTTTTTTTTGTCCATCATTGTGTATCATTTTCAGATGAAACTTTAAAGCAGCATTCTCAAGCTGTTTTAATACTAGTTTCCCTCTTCATTTGGCTAAATGTTATTCCCTAAAATGTGAAATACAGAAAGATATATGCTTAGCTTAGGAAACAATATCATCAGGAAATCACATAGTTTTTCTGGGTCATCATCTGAAAAGATGCTATGGAAAGCTTAGGTGAATACTAGGAAGCCTAAGGGGAACAAGTCACAGAAAATGTGGCACAAAATCATCATTCTTTTTAAATGTAACGTCTAAGCTCCCTGTGTATTCCGTGGTTGAAAATGTAATGTTTATTGAGAGCATGGGCTCTGTTATTGCATCGCTTTTTTCCATTTATGTCAGTTTTATGTGCTTGTACCTTCAAGAGCACCTGCTAAAAGGATTAAAAGCCTGGTGCAAAAGCAAATCTTCATACAGCAAATGTTTAAAAAAACCAAGTGTTTGACCAGTGGTACCTATGAGCTCAGATGTGTTACCTTGCCCTAATTATTTTGCTGTATTTTTCTCTTGGCCCTGAGGAAACAGCCATGTCACAGAACATTCTAATTAACAAGGGCTTCAGAAGTAGAAACTACAGAGGCAGTGCCTGCAGGAACTTTGAAAACACCATAAAATTTCAATTTTCTTTGCTCTGTTTACAGCACAGAAGTGAAGCAAACAAAACCCCAGTCTGAGTGTAATGGTTGCATTATGTATAAGCCATGTGCCTGCCGTCCAGGAGAGCTGGGGTATGTCTTTGCTAAGGCTGTCTTGTAATTCTTATCATATGCCTTTTTTCTCTAGATGTTGATGAGTGCGCGGTGGTGAATGGTGGCTGCCAGCAAGGCTGTGTAAACACACATGGCTCCTTCCACTGCCAGTGCTGGGCAGGATATAGGCTCCATGCTGATGGGTGCACTTGCATAGGTGAGCGAATGTTGACAAGCATTTCACATACTTCAAGACACAATCTTCTCTGCTAAACCTGTCTTTGCCTCAGTACAAAGGCTTGTCGACTATCCCAGTCTGTTTTGACTAATTCACACAGGATGTCATTATCCATTCCAGCACAAGAAGCTTGATTCAGGTATTTCCAGGTTTCTTCCTTTTCTTCTGTGAGCATACAATTGTTCCTTTTTTTTTTTTTTATTTGTGAGTGATAGTGTCCAGTGTTTCTGTTATGCAATTTTTTGAACATTTCTTTTGTTTGCTGCAAGCATTAAGGAAATAGGAGATCTTAGTTTCAAATAAAAATGTTTTTTTGAATTGAGCGCTTTTAATTTGTGTCACATCTCACTGCATGTTCCAGCACTGTCCTGCGCTTTTCTGCCCCATTACTCTTCCTCTTAGTCTTTTTGCCTGTTTTTTAATAAATACAAACAGCAGCTAGCAAAATCTCTTGCCCACAGCTGCCTGGCAGGACACTGCTCTTCTGACCAAGCAATCCCAAAATGTAGTTTGTGTCTTCATCAATGAAGACAAAATAAAAGCTTGTGATTGCCACCAAGAAGTTGTATTTAGCCTTTTAGTCCATCAGACTGCCCAGGCTGAGTCCCCGTAGGCTTTCCCAGATGGTGACATGAGCTTAGGCAGGCAGATCTCATTAACTGGGTCAAGGGGTGCAGCGCTGAAGTAAAATCTCTGACTGCACTACAGTGAGCAGAGCAGAAAATCCTCTAGGGAGGATCAAAAGCAGAGGCCAAATTTGTGAATTACTAAGATACATCTTAGAACATGGTGCTATGGTCTGATAGCTAGACAGTGAGCTCTAAAAGGCTAATGAAATATTTAAGTATGCCTTCAGAGGTCTTCTGGTTTTCAGAGAGTCCATGAAAGAAAGCAGTCCTACCTTTCATCTCTTCAGTCTTTGCTGTATGTTGAGGGTCTTTTTATGTAAAACAGTAATGCAGAATTGTCTGCTTGAGTCTGTTTTGCATTTTAGTTATTAGATACGGTACAGTGAGAAGTATGGATGGGATGGGCTGAAAACTCTCCTCCAAGTATATGAATGAATATTTAGCTTGCACTAATCCTTTTAACTCAATCAGGGGGTGCCCATGTATGTGAATCTGAGAGTCTTGAGCACTTTTCCTGAGATTCTGCCTGTGCTGTGAGCTGATAATTAGGGTGCTATAGATTTGTGAAATCTCCTTGTTCCTATAGCGATCTTATGCCCTTTGATCTGTTCCTTTATCTGCACTGGTCTTTGAAAGGTTGCACTACCCCTGTATATCAGGGATACATCTTCATCTGCTGCAGTCCTGTTTGTAACATCTCCGTTACAACCAATAACTAATTTCCCTTGCTCAGCCAGCAAAACCCCTGCTGTACTCCTCTGTGGCACACTCAAACAAAAGATAACATATGAAAGCCAATAACAAAAGAAGCTGCAAACCAAACTGATTGCCTTTCTTTAAATCAGTTTTATATCTCCCATATTGAAGATCTTCAGCTCATGAATGCTTGCTTGTGGATGTGCTCCCCTTTCTGCCAACATTAAATGCAGAGCTTGGGCTGGCTGCAGGTTTTGGCAACTGCTCTGCTAATGTGAATGATGCTTGCAGTTGTACTGACAGACATCCTGTTCCAAGAAACAGGCATTACAAAACAGTAGGAAGAGGGTGGATATGATTCTAAAGGCTGTACCTGAGTTTGAAAAACAGGATGAAAAGCCACTGATTCACAGTATGGAATTACCCATTGTATGTTCATGTAGACGAGAGCACCGTGGAGCTTGGCAGTTCAGCCCATTACACAGTGCCTGTTTATGTGCTTGTGGAAGAATAAATGCTGTGTTTCTTAGGTTGGGCTTTGCGCCCTGAAACAAGACATGAGGAGTTAATTCTGCATGTTGCTAAAAATAATAAAATATGCCATCCTTGTGTTACATTTAAATCAGTACTGAGTCAAGTTGTTGAATTTTGTAAAAAGGATTAAAATGTTCTGTCATTTGGGAAGAAGAAAAGAATGTTATTTATTTAATTTTTTAGGGCTGATTTTAGGTAACATGAGAAGAACAATCAAGTCTGGTCAGCTCACATCTGCAGAATAAGTTCACTCACAGTCTGGTCATTGTTCTTGTACAAAGTCCCTTGGTTGTGATTAACGTCAGCCAAATATGTCATCAGTCATTTCTGGTATTATCACAGCAATAAATTTACTGATGCAGCTAGAACACAGGGTGTACCAATGCTCAAGCTGTGGGAATAGTATTTTTTGTTTAAAGAACTCGCTCTTTTAGGTTTGTTTGGTTTACGACATACAGAGATTTTCAGTGTTTTGGTGATTGCTTAACTGCAATTAAAAATACTGTAAAGTCTCAATCTTTTCTTGATTATCTTAGCTGGATACGGTATGGGTAAGGAAACACTAGTGTGAGAGAAGAAATTAATATAAAAGCAGAGCAGTGCATATTCAACTAGAAACACTAGCGGTTTTCTGTGAATTGAAAGAGAGAGAAATTCCTATCTCTCTGATCAGATCTGACAAGGGAAGACCCAGAAGTGAAAGATGTGATGTCTGAGTTGTGTTACTCCTCCTGAATAGTCTCATTTTTGGCTGTGGGGCGAGGGAATTTTATACAAAAAAGGACTAAAGTGGCTTTGGGGAAAAAGAGCAAGAGAACTAAATGAACACGAAAAGTAGGTGGTGCGACAAATTCATTTACCTGTGTAATGTGTGAAACCTTCTGTGGGCATAGAATAGTAAGGTTTTCTCATGGCGCAAATAATCGAAAGCTCCGTTTGGAGTTGTCTTAGCTGTGAACATTACCAGAAAGCAAGTTTTCACTTCAAATATTTGTTCACAAGAAGTTATTAAAAAGCTTAATACATGGTCAGTTCTTTTTTCAGTATCTCAGAAATTATCAAGGAGAAACAGAATAAATCCTAAAATGAGAGACAGGAGTAGGTTTCAGAGAGAACTGCTATCATAAAACGGATACAGAGTGGAGGATATTGGGTTCTGTTTCAGGTTTAGACAAGACACCAAAATACAAGACACCAAAATAAATGTATATAATAAGCTCTCATGCACTGGAGCACAAGACAGCTACTAACTGATGAGGACAGAGAAGCTTTTCATGTAAACCAGTAATCCAGGAGTGCCTAGCCTCAGGATTTGGGCACTAACTGCTGGCCACTGGGGATAGAGAGTTTGCCTTTTCCTGCTGCACCAGTTCATATATTCAATTTTGAGCACTCATCTGATCAAGAAATAAACCCAATAATTGTAGAATCATAGAATGGTTCTGGTTGGAAGGGACCTTAAAGATGATGTAGTTCCAACCCCCCTGCCACGAGCAGGGCACCTTCCACTAAACGAGGTTGCTCCAAGCCCCATGCAGCCTGGCCTTGACCACTGCAAGGGATGGGGAAGCCACAGCTTCTCTGGTCAACCTGTGCCAGTGCCTCACCACCCTCACAGTAAAGAACTTCCTCCTGATATCTTATCTAAACCTCCCCTCTTTCAAAGTCACTTCTCCTTGTCCTATCCCTGCAGGCCCTTGTAAAAAGTCCCTCTGCAGCTTTCTTGTAGGCCCCCTTTAGGTACTGGCATTCTGACGTAGCACAGCTAAGCAGAACATTTAGTGTTTCAAACTGGGCTTGCATTAGCAATTATATTTCTTCTGTGGATACTTTAGAGGATGTAATGATCTCTCCCACATACTGAAAATGAAAAAGGACTACGTTCTGGAAATGAACTGTTTATGGAAGGTGATTACCTCAGCTGCAAAAATAAGAAACAAACATCCCTTCAGACAGACTTTTCAGATGAACCCAGCCCAGACCTCTGTTATATTCATTCCTTCCACATTGTCTTTTTTTTCTTGGCAACCCTGTTTTTCTGGGAGCGAAAGTGCCAAAATCACTTGAGGGGAAGCAGATTTTGCAGCCTAGATGTCTTGGATGGTTCTCATACATAAGGAAGTGGGTCTATCTTCTTGTGAGATATTCAGCCTACATCTGAGGCAAAAAAAGAGTCAAAACCCAGGATAAGCTTTCTTGTGTAATTGCATGGAAGGGTACTGAACTTCTGTCAAACTCTTCCCAGTGAGTCCAGTTCTCTTACGATGTAATCACAGTATGTTTGAGATCCTGACTAACTGCTGGTTGTCCACACCTCCACTGCTTGTATGAGCCTCAAAATACATGGTTTGAAGTTTGTTGTTTTTCATTCCGCCTGCTCTCATTAGAAACTTCTGCCCATACTCTAAGGCAAACAACCTCTAAAATGGGTTGCCTTGTTCAGTGATAAGTAGTATGTGAAAGTAAATTACTGTCATCTTAAATCCTTTGATGATCTCTGATACTATGTGGCATGTCAGAATACCATCTTTTTCGATCCACCTTTTCTTCCTTAGCTTTTTGGTCCCACAAGTTTTGCTCAATATTGAATTCACTTTTAGATACCTGTGCCAGACTAAATGTTCACTACAAATTAGGTAATTAAAATAGCCAGAGGTTACGTTGTCTGGTTGTTTTTTGTTTTTTTTTGCCTTGCTTTTAGTGCCTTGATTATGTTAACATAATTAATTTAATTTCAGTAAAGTTTAACTGACTGGTGTCTGGAAGGCAGAAACTCAGAGGGAGTACATGTTTATTGTAGTATTGGGCTATGGTTTTAGACTGATGTAAATTCATTGTCTTCACTGAAATTTATTCTTGTTTAAACTCCTAGAAGTGAAAGCAGAACAGAGTTTTCAGACCTCCATTCATCTCTGGTGCCAGCTGTTATCTTTGGTGTCTGCCTTGTGTAGAAAAGCTGTTGAGATGTGGGTTTTTACAGAGACTTTTGCACACTGAGGCTTTTAACAGGAAGTAACAAGATATCACTATAAATCTATAACCCATGTTTTTCCACATCAGTAAAAGCACAGTATGTCTGGAGTTGTTTTTTTTTTTTTTGTAATTGATAAGGTTGGATTGAAGGTGATGGAAAACACAGGCTTGAAGAGACTGCATATTCTAACCCCATGGTTGCTGTGTATGCATCTAGCCCTGGCTTCATACTCGGGTTTCTGTGAAAATATGACCATTATTATAAAAAATAATGGGTTGAAAAATGTATATTTCTCTGGACTTGATGACGGGGTGAGTTTTCTACTAAACTTCAAGAGTAAATCTTTGCAGTAGGGCATACTGTATTTCTGCCTGAACTCCATGCTGTGCTCAGACCTCTAGCCACAAGTCCCTTTACAGGAGGTGGAATTACATTCATGATATGCCGAGTCTCTCCCTTTTTGTGATCAAAGATGCATTGCTGGCACCAGACAGCACAAGCACAATTCATCCTGTTCCTTCCCCAGTGGCTCTTCTCTTTCAGTCTGGCACCTCCTCTCACGTAGCACACGCGATGCCTTGGCAGCAGGCATAAAACCTGGCTGTGGCTGCTCTGGAGTAGTAATACCTCCCTCCACAGCTGCCGGCAGAGCCCATGCTGGGCCAGGCGGCTCAGCCCCCTCAGTGCAAGCTCTCTGTGCAGGAGTTTACACCCATCGTCTTCTGGCTTCGAAGCCTCCAAAATCCTCAGTACGGCAGGCTGCTGCTTATTTCCCATTACATCCAAATTGGCTTATGCCCACCAGAAAAGGTGGGAGAAAATGCACTTCTAAAAACTGAGATGTGTATTCCGTCACTTGGAGCTGATTTAAGGCGGTTTTCATCTTCTGAAATATTTTCATCTCATTTGAATATTCTTGCTGAAAAGCAGGTCTTTGGAAACAAATGTGCAGCAAGCAGGAAGCTCAGTGTATTAGGTTTGCTGTCTCCCATGTAGGAATCAAGCTGCTTTCAACTGGGTGGGAGGTTTGCAGACACAGGTGAAGATCAGAAGCCAGGGTCAGGTCCAGTGTGCAGCAAGGTATCTCCTGGCTACTGCTGTGTGTGCATCCGTGATAATGTAAAAATTTGCTTTTCTTTGGGTATTTTTAACATACACTTTGCTTCCTACAGCAGCTTTTATGGCTAATGTTTTCTTAATGTCTATTACATATAGAATGATAGAATCATAGAATAGTTAGGGTTGGAAAGGACCTTAAGATCATCTAGTTCCAACCCCCCTGCCATGGGCAGGGACACCTCACACTAAACCATCTTATAAATGAATTAATATGAATATTCCTAAAATAAATAGCAAAGCTCTTTGCTGACTTCATTGGGTCCGGAGTTTGATTTCTTTCATGAAGAATCAAATAGTCTTTCCAGCTACTCATTGAGAACGTAATACATCCACTGATGTTAAAATACATATAGACGCAGTCCTGCACACACTCACACTTACATATGTACAGCTGAACAATAGGTTCAGTTGATCGCTCTTATTTTTATATGCAGTGTGCAAATAGGTGTGAGTGTGTGATAACGTATTTTGGCAGAAGGATAAATGTTTCCCTAGAAGCCAGAGATATAAGCTGAACAAAAAAGAATATTAATTTGCTTGGGTAAAAGAAGCAGCATCTTTAGAGATGTACTAAAGACCCTCTTGTTGCTTGTTGTGGTTTACTTTCTAACTGTCCTGTGGAGCCTGTGACTCCTATCATTTGCAGCTTCCTATGCGTGAGCCTGAGGAAATCAAACTGAAAGACAGGTTTTGTATATATGGGTTTGTTTTCTTTCAAATAAATGACAGCAGGGACAGGAAAAAAAACCCAAAACCAAACAAGAAAACAACAATGGGCAAATGCCAGTAGGGACTTTTTTTTTCCCTCCTTACCTTAGTGGAATCTCAAGTGCTTTGCTGCTGTCAGATCAAAGGGTGGCTGTACTTCAGTCAGCATTACAGCTCTTGGATCTCACCTGCCTCTCACTGGAATCACAGCTTTCAGTGACATGGAACACTGTGTCAAGCAAGCACCCTGAATGCAAGGGAGGGCATTCACGCAGGGGATGGGGACAGGTGCATTTATGAAAGCTGTTTGGTGATGTTTGTGTATTTTTACTGTCATTTATGCATTTAAAATAGGAAATAAGTTTCTTGGGTTGTTGACATGTGTTCCTTCAATGCTTCCTTGGCTCCAGCCATCAATTCCTGCAGCGTTAACAAGGGGGGCTGCGAGCAGGATTGTGTTCAGCTCAGTGAAGACCGCTATAAGTGCCAGTGCCAGCCGGGCTACCAGCTAAAGAGGGATGCCAGATCCTGTGAAGGTAAGTCCTGCACTACCTGCGTGGAGACACACATTAAAGGCAATTAAAAAGACCCCAGGATAGTGCTTTGCATTGCTGTGTTCATTCATATTTCACCCTGCTTGCCAAAAGCAGCTCCAGGAATTGCTTATTAACAGAATTTTAAAATGACACATTTGAGATGTGAAGTTCACATTGATTCACAATTTTGAACAAGATTTTGGCCTCATAGACCACTTGCTCTTTGTTGCACACTGACGATGATGACATAGGTTAGGAACTTAATCATGTTGTAATTCTAACATCTTATTACTCATCAAGTTGTATATCAAGTTGGCCTGTGTTTTAGTCTACATAATTCCATAATGTGTTTTATTCTACATAAACTTTTCTATATCTGATTTTGGTTTATGTCTCTCCTAATCATAGTCTGATTAATTTCTTCTCCCCTTCAGGATTCTAAGCAAACACTCTCACAAGCAGAACATAAATGCTACCTTTGGGTTTGATTATTTGGGGGGGGGGAGGGGGGGTTCTCACATGGATTCATCAGTTTTTAAGGCAGCTCTTCCCCAACATAGGTGCATACACACAGTACCCTTGAATATGCCAGAGTAAGACAGGGCAAATACGTGGATATACTGCACTAAAATTCCTGTCACAAAACTGTTTCCGTATGACTTCTTTTCTGCTTGGAGATTTCATATGCTGTGTATAAAGTGTAATTAAATCTTGCTGTTCATCTTGGTTCTGAGCACTTGGCCTTCAGTTTTGGCCTCCCCAAGTCCTGCCCTCTACAGGGCACCCACAACCAGCTCACCTCTCCATCCTTCCTGGGGTGGCTGCGCTTTGTCCCCAAGATTGTCAGAAAGAGTCGGAAAGGGGGAGTTTTGGGTAGGGGAAAGGGCATCTGAGACCTTCTTCCACTGTTCTCCAGCCTATTTTTAAACCTCTTGTGATTCCTCTGTGCCTCTGGCACTTAAGTTGACCTTGGCCAAGTCAGCTGAGCATAAAGACCCCTGCATAAAACTTTTCAGTGTTTTTTTTTTTTTAATGATGTTGTGATGGGGCAGAGGTTGGATTGGCAGGGTCTGAGTGTGGCGACGCCTGGTTGGATCACTCGGGCGAACATGGAGCTGTTCAAACCTCCACTTAAAGCTCTATCTCAGTTGTTAGTGATTGGTTCATCTCAGCAGCAAAACAAGCAGGTTCATTCCCATAGTTGGTGAGGTTCTGCCACCGTGCAGGCAGCTGTGGCCATTGGCTTCTTCACATCATGAAGCTAATGAGGGTCAGACACCCACCAAAGGCAGCAATTCATTACCAGCCAGTAACTACTGAACAGCGGCTAAGGGGCAAGGTCAGCTTTGTCTGTGGGTGAGACCTTATCTGAAGTTCACGTCTCTACCTGATTACCTGTGTTCAGAATGGTATAAATCAAAATATAATAGTGCAGCCTCTCTGGGATGACAGTTGTGCTTAAAGGAAGGAGAATCTGTCTCACAAGGGGAGCTCAGCTGGCAAAATGAAGATTGAGTAGGATAAATACCTTAGCAAATAAACACCTGGGAAAGAAAAATGATAGTTAAGCCAATGGACAAGATTTTACAGGAACAAATGAGCATAAAGTGGCCATGAATACAGTTGGGTTGGCAATTAGAGATGTTGTAAGTAGAGAAGGTGGGAGAAGGTGAGCTTTGCTGATTTTACTTTCCAAGCAGAAAGGATGGCTGCTGTAGCACTGGTTTGCACAGTGCTAGAGAAGCTGGTGTCATGAGGGTGTTTACTGCAGCAAGTGTAGCTGTGCTGCATGTGTGGAGTCATCCCTGCTGACTGCTTGGGAGTTAATACTGCACCCCGTAGCCCTGAAAGGCCAGACAGAAACATCCAGGCCTAGCAGGGGAGTGCAGCTTTCAGCATGGAGGCAAACTGATCTGGAACATCTAAGAAATTAAACCATTCCATTAAATTTTTTGCCATAGTGTTTAACAGCTTGGAATAGAGTTTTGTAGGATGCAGTCTGTTATCTACTAAAGTTGTTAAATCAATAAGAGCCAAATGTGTAGGAAAAATAACTCTAATGAGTTATTTTTAGTTTTTCCTGAAACCTGCCTATAACAGGAAGGAACAGATATGTCATTGGAAAACAAGTCAATCAGTGGTTGCCTTATGTCCTGAAGATCTTTCCTTTACGATCTTTCATCTTGTCTGAGGACTTCCAAGGCTGCTATCTTTATTCAAATTACTGTGTTGTGCTAACATCTACCCTATAATTTGTTGTTTGTTTGTTGTCATGTCACACAGTATTACAAGTTTACTCTGGTGCTATAATCATTCTCAAATGAAAGCTTTAGATGCTCTGAAAACCATTATAATATGCAGGTTTAACAGATGCTGTTTGCTAGTAATTTCGTTTAGTTTAACCAAATAGAAAAAAAATCAGCAAATAACTCAGTATTTTATATCAGCAAGAAAGGAGTTCTTTCTTGAAGCTGAATCTTTTGTAGACCACAAATTGTTGAACTGTAGATCCAAGCTGTCAGTGTTGAAAGTATCACATAGAAGGAAGTGCTGCTGTCCCTTGGAAAAATATTTGCAACCTATTGTGGTGATAATCCAACAGAAAATTTCAGTTCTATATACTTAACAGTGATTTTTTTTGTTTATTCTTAATACTCTGAAGGCAAACTCAGTCTGCAAACTTGAATTGTTACATTCTTGAGATGGCAGAGGTTAAACAAGGGAATTTAAAGGTGTTCTGGGGCAATATTCTTTGCCAAATGATGGCTGAAAATGCCACTCACTACACAGAAAAGTGAAAATTGGAGGAAATGAAAAAATTGGAGGAAATGAAGAAGAAAATGAAAAAATGAAAAATGAGAACAGCTTCAACCCTTTCCCAGGGTTACTGAAACCCTGACAGCACTGCCAGTGCTTTGAACTGTTAACTTTCTTCCTCATGCCTTGATAAAAGTTGGCTTGTACAGAGCTTGAGATGCCTGGTGAAGGAGTTTTAAGGTTGGAGGCGAATGAGAAATACTGGTCAAATGTCTCAAATCAGACAATAATTAGTAAAATGCTAAAACTGAATTAGAGCTTGAATTCTGACTTTTGAAAAGTTTTATTTGAAGCTAAGCAGAACTCTAGAGGACACATTTTCAAAGGTGTCCTCCAAATTTATCTATGTGATGTTAATCACCAATGCATTAGCGTAACTAGTACTCCACACTGAAACCTCAACCTTGTGCAGAATATCAGATTTTGGTATGAACTCTTGGCTCCTAACCCAAATTAGACCTGTCCAAATAGTCCCAGTTACGTCTCTTCTACTGTGTACAAAGTCTTTACTGGGGCAGATACATCAGAATTGTTTCCAGCAGGTATGTATTCCAGAAATAAACCCATGAAACACAATGAAATCTCTGAGGTGGAGACTTCTATAAGCACTTTATAAATGTGTTGCTAAGTACTTGCCACTTAGAGCGGCTTATCCTTGAAATGGTATGTTTTTGTTCAAGAAAAGGAAGAAAATCTTGATGTATGACGGGAATGACATAAGTTTTTAGACTGAAGGAGGTCTTCTATGACTTTTCAGCATTTATTTCCTCTAGAGACTTTAAAATACACACTGTTTTGTGGCAAACTCCACAGCTGTATGTGTTTATGGGTTCACACATATTGGAACGCTAATTGCTATTGTTTAGGGCAGCTATTGAAATCTGCTCAGTTACAGCAAAATAAGAATAAAACGTACTTATCTTGTCCTACTTTCAAGGTGTAATACAAGCCCAGCTTCCCACTGTGTAAAGCATTGTTGCTGCTCTTGAAAAATGCTGTCCAGCAACAGAGAAAATAGTGTTCAGAAAAACAATGGCTTTACTGTACACCAAATTCTGTCAAATACTTTTTTTCCAGTCTAATCTCTTGCAGCTACAGTAATCTTTGTTGTTAGTTATAACAGTGGCAGGTAAGATCATTTTCAGACAAAACCATGACCTTTAAGCTGACAGTGTGTTCTAATTGGTTTCAGTGATAGACCCCTGCACAACTGGGAATGGAGGATGCTCACAAATCTGTCAAAATGAGAGAGGAACTGCAAAGTGCGAGTGTCATGCAGGGTACTATATTTCTGCAGACAAAACGTCCTGTTTAGGTAAGAAACTATGGACTATTTATTGGGAAGAAAGATACTAATATGCACTCTAGTTTGCTGAGCTTTGAATGGAAAAAAATATGTTATACAAATATGTCTGCATTTTGAAATGGTGTTTCTTTCTGTTATATTGACGTCACACAATACTGTTGAAGAACCATTTTATTAATGAAAATTACTCTGTGATCTCTTAAACCATGCTTTCTAGCAACTGGATTTGTAGATGATGTAGTGTCATTCTTGTAGGGTCCCTTTAAAATAATGCCCCAGATACAGCTTCTGGAAAATTGGTTCAAGTTAACTCTGAACCACGTCACTGAAAACCTATTTAGAATTCAAAGAGCTTTTTAGCTGGAGAACTGTTTCCATATTAATAGACAAACTACTGTTAAGGAAAATTATGAAGTGTAAGATTTCCAAAGAAAGGTGCTTAAAGAGTTGAATTCCAAAGTCTTGTATTTAGTCTGAGATTTTCAAAAGGATCTAAAGCATTTTTGATCTGAAATGTGGGGCAATTACCTATCAAAATACCTGCTTTTCTGTTAATATGATACTTGGAAGCTAGATTATCAGTTTTATGAAGGAAAAAGCAATTGTGGACTTCATGGTGCACAGATTTTTAACAGCCTTGTCAGGGTCAGGGTATGTATTTGGACACCAGTTATGAACTCCTCCTTTTGAAAACCTGGTCATGATTTTGCCAGTGCTCAAATTGTTGTCTTGTGTGGTGCTGGGTGCTTCACAAAATACTTCCTACCTTGATTATTTTACTCAGTTGTCTCTAAGCTATTCTGTGAGTAACATTGCACAGCTCAGTGATTATCCTCTCTTACTGCGATTACTCATGAGTCAGGTTACTGAAAAAGCAGAGTATTTTAAAGCAGTGTAGACACTTCACTGACAATTAGTAGATGGAAACCACAGTGGGTTTAATACTAGGGTCAGCATGTTATTCATTTTATCTCGGATACATATTGGCAATTCCATTAATTTATGTATAAACTAACACACTAGGAAACTTCCGGTATTACATATTGGAACAAATTTTCTTCCCACTTTCATGGCAACAGTCTTTTGAATTGCTAGGCATCATGTCTTACTATGGATATGCAATTATTGTTTTTTTCTTCCAGAAATTATTCAATATCTTTTGCAAAATTCAAGCTAGTATTTGGCTCTCTGGAAGATGAACTAGGAGACAGAGGGCAACTAAAGTGTCATACTTTAGCTATTAGCTGTATTTAAAAGATAGGAAGAAACATGCAGAATGGTGGCTGTGTTTCAGTTTTCCAACTTCTTTCTATTTGAAAAGCAGAAAAAGAGAAAATCACATATACAGAATTTGCCAACATAGTCTACTTGCAAAGTGACAATTACAGAAGAAGGAGAGAGAGCCCATTTTAGTCTAAACAGCAGCTATACTCACATGGCTGCTTCAGAGAAGCTGTCATTTATCCTGAAATTTTCATGAGTCGGTGTGTGGTGTTTGCACTGCCTGAGGCCTCTTTTTGCAAGTAGGCTGATTGCATTTGTAAAGCTACTTGTGTTCAAGTACAAGGGGCCATGACTATGGCACTGGTTACAGCATATGTGAAGCAAAAAAATAAAACCTGTTAGAAAGTGGTTTGCTGTGGTAAAAGGTGAGGAGCTGCACACCAGACCGTTCTCTCCTCTGTGTGAGACACTGACCCAGGATCGGTGCAATGAATAATCTGTATTTTGGAAGCAAAATGTCAGAACAAGAGAAGGAAGAGGAGGTGGGTTAGGGGTTTGCTGTGTGCAAGATAATGTCAGTCTTTGCACAGAGGTTAATGTTATCTGCATCTGTGCTCCACAGCAGCAGCATTTAGTGTAAGTTTTTGCTTTCCTTTTTTTTCTTTGCTTCCTTTCCCCTCCCCCCCCCCTTCAGTAATTGTTCTTTAGGAGTAGTTTTATGCCCCACTGAGATTTTAGGAAAATGGATGCCTCTGGTTGCATTTATCTCCAAAATACAAACTAGTGAGTATAAAGCTGAGAAGGGCTTTGACAGTCTTAAGAGAGGGCTGGGCGAACAACAGTCTCTCCATCCACAGTTCCTCACCTTTTTTCTTTACTTATAGGTGTGGTGAAACTCTGCTGGTTAGAGTAGATGCCTCCCAGCTGGACTTCCGTAGAAGTATGATTCAGGGATGTGACCTAGGAGATCTGTCTCCATTTTACCTGCTGCAACCCAGTCACTACTCAATCCAAATCATTTGACATTCAGAAAATAATCAATTTCCTGTCCCATTAATTTAAATATAGTAGTTTTGAAGACTTTATGATAATTTTAGGGTAGTGGGAAGTAGGAATTTCTCCTGAATTCTTCATGTGACTTACTTGGCCATTGCTTTCTTTACAGGAATAATAAGTTGCTTTGGCTGATACTGTAAATATAATGCTTGACATTGTAAATAATCACACTGAATGGTTCAAGGTCAATGGTGTTCGGAAAAAAAGGTTACTTTGTAGGCCAATGTTGAATTCAGTGTTCCTGGATTCATCAGATGCGGTCATTTGTAGACTAACATCACGATGTGCTTTTCAGCCTGAAAAACATGTGGAGAAATACTATTTTTTACTTTAATATCCAAATGAATGTCTTTGCCTTTCTCTACGCTTCATAGACATTGATGAGTGTACAGAAGGAAGAGCCAGGTGTGCTCATCGTTGTGTGAACAGTCTGGGATCCTTCACCTGTGTCTGTAATCCGGGCTTCGAGCTGGGGGCTGATGGAAAGCAGTGCTACCGTAAGTGACACTTTTGCAGTTTTCAGGCATTCTTATCTGCAAACTGCTATACTTGATTTTTAATTCAGTTGGATTAGTACTCACAGCAATATAAATGTATGCAAAAGCTCAAGCTTAATGCTATTTTCTTCATCTTCTGCTACTGCTGGTTTTGCAGGTTGATATTCCTAAGCCTGTGTTCACAGACCTTAATTACTGCATTTCAGAGAGCAAATAGCCATGTTGGTTTATCTTCAGAGACTGGTGAATTTTATTGTAGAACTACTAAAATATTGCTCTTCCATGAAATACATTCATTCCTGCCCTCCTCCTCCCAATTTTATTATATGCCACATCTGAGGCAAGAAAGAAATGTAATATTCTGCTCCTGTCTTTATCTCTCTAAGTTTACTTATGTTTCTTCTGAGATTATTGACACTATTAAGTAGATGCCATAGAAAGAAAAGGAAAAAAAGCAAGGTTTGGGATGCAAAAAAAATCAGAACAACTGAAATTTCCCAAACTAAAATGATGCTGAGCTCTGTTGTCTTCCCTCACATGCTTATCTCTTGCCAGCAGGGTTTCTTAACACTACTTTTCTTCAGGAGGGGACTGATTTCCAGCACTGTTAGTTGATAGGTGATCCCTAGGCTGTCCTTGAGGGCAAATGTAGATTAATAAAGGAGATGATGTGGAAAAGTTTGTGTTATTATGGACCTAACATAAGCTCACTGGAATGCAGACAAAAGCATGACCTGTTTTAGCAAAGAGGTGGGCAAAGATCATTCAATGTAATAATACTGTGCAAGAGCTTTCAGCAGAATTTCCTTAGGAAAATATGCTGCATGCCAGAGAATGTATGCTTTCTTTAAGAATGTGTGTGTAAGAAATACTTATTGGGGATGAAATTCAATTTCAAAGCATTAACATACATTAAAAACAAAAAACAGTTATGTGAGAGATATCCTGGAGAATTATTTCATAGGTGATGGGGGGAACTGTGAATAGTGCAGTGGCAGAGGAAATGCAATTAATATATAGATATATCTGTTATCGGGATAAAAAAAAAAAGTGATAATGTATTTTCTCCATGTTCTGCAAATCTCAGGGGATGATGATTCTCTGTACCTTATGTACAATATTATAAGGCAAATAATAAAAATAAAAACATTCTGCATCTATTCATGATCAGGGTTATCCCAGTGCTTGAGAAATTTATAATCTTTGTTTATTCTTTCATTTCCCCAGTGTCAGGGGGAAGAGCTATTATTCTATTTTTACTGATGAAGAACTGACAGTATATAAAGTCAGATTCTGCATCTGACTGCTGGGTTTCCTAAATCCCAGCTTGACACACAGGACAGGAGACTAGGTTCCTTCTCCCTGCTGCAAATAATCATAATATAGCCTTCAATATACATTCTCCTAATTTATATCCTCTTCCAGCTAGACTTGCATTTCAGCAGGCGGATTGCTCCCTGAGGGCACAAAAAACTTAGGAACAGAGCCTCCAACACAGATGTGTCCCTGAGCCACAGCAGTGGGGAAATGCCATCCTTCTGCACCAAATCTGATGGCCTCAGCTCTGAGCTGGAGTGTTTCTGGAAGTACGGTGGCTCCTTTAAGGAGGGTGTTTCTCAGTTCTCCTGCATATTATGGGAATTTAATGCCTCTCTACATAGTTACGTAATGAGACAATTTGGGTAATTCTTCAGGAGAACATTTAGAACTGAGCTTACGGTTTGCTTTCATCCCAAAGAAATCATCCAGTGTAGTACCTGGGTAGGAATGAGGTGGCCAGATGTTCCCTTTTCTGTCTGAAGACTTCTGCTGGACCTGGCCAGTTGTGAGGACTGTCCAGCACAACCCAGTGCAGAAGGATGGGGATGGTCCATCAGGGTGAAGAGGGGTGGCAACAGCATCATGCCACCACACTGTCTTAATTATGGGCAAAGTCCCAGCAGGGGAATTGCTATGTGCCCTGTTGAAGGGACATAGAATCATAGAATACTTAGGGCTGGAAACGACCTTAAGATCATCAAGTTCAAACCCCCCTGCCATGGGCAGAGACACCTCACACTAAGCCATGTCACCCAAGGCTCCATCCAGCCTGGCCTTGAGCACTGCCAGGGATGGAGCATTCACAACTTCCCTGGGCATTCCGTTCAATGCCTCACCACCCTCAAAGTAAAGAACTTCTTCCTTATATTTAACCTTAGATCCAACAGTCAAAACCTGTGGAATCTTCTGCTTTGTGGTTAGGTGTCAGACTTGCCACCTTGTGGTTTGGTGTCTCACAGCGCTCTGCTGTTAGACGTTTGTTTTTGGTGGATGTTTCAGAATCTAACTCTTTCCCATTTGCATACAACACTAAAAGTTACTTACTGGAAAGCACAAGTAGTCTGGGTTGAGATGGACCACCTGGGTTCTTCAGATGGTTCCTTTCCTCCTTTCAGGTAAGGGCAGAACTTGCTATTGCATTCAAAGCAAGCATAAATCTCAGGAAACCTGTGAGTGCTCCTGTAGTAGGCAGACTGCTGGAACGGTGGACCAGCTTCACATTACCAAAGTCAAGAGCATACACTGTTATGACACAAGGAGACAAATACCCAGAGTTCAGTGGCTCCAAAACATGCTTTTCTGTGGTGTGAGTGGGAGTTCAGTTTATATTTCCTGCTACAGCAGTCAGCTTATGGGTGCTTTTTTTACAGAAAGCTTATTCTCCAGTGACTCTCCTCCTGTGCTTGCTTTTTAACATCATTTTCATTTATTTCTCTGCAAGGCATCGAAATGGAAATTGTCGATAGCTGCCAGGAAAACAACGGTGGCTGCTCTCACCACTGCGAGCACACCACTGCGGGACCACGCTGCTCCTGTGACGATGGCTATCACCTCGATTTTGATGGCAAAACTTGTGCAGGTAATTCATGACAAATACAGTGCTCCTGTGGGAGGAGGGAGGAGATGCGGCAGGTCTCTCTGCAAGGGCAGCCTGCAGGAGAGCTGTCGCTCAAGGAAGTGCCTTCCCATCTCCTTCCTTTCTTCTACAATTTTTAATTAATACCATCCTCTGGTGCTTCCAAGCCACTGCTCCAGCTTGCCTCACTCTGCATGTTTGCTGGGAGTATTAATTAACATGGGGAAGGAGTCTGCCTCCCAAATGGAAAATGACAGTTTGGTGCATTGCCAGTTACTGTGGCCGTATCTCATTGTGTGCAGCTCAAACATCACTTGTCTGACTTTTTTGCCCTCCCTTCCTCAGCTGGCAGCCGGGAAGAGGTAGCACTGCTATTCTGAAGTGCTTCATGTGCAAACCCCACTTTGTGTTGTGGAAGTTGCTGTATTTCTATCAGATTGGCTCAGTGATGAGACTGCACCTCTGACTGTGAGAAGTCTCACTTAGGAAGTGAAAGCAATAGTTAGATTTGTTTTCATTTCAAGAAAAGAGCTTAAAAATTCATTCACATTTTAAACAATTTTACAATGTGATTTTTAATTTTTTTGTTTGTTTGCTCCTTTTGCTGTGCAAGCTGTATCATGTTCTGCTTTAGGCTTGCTGTCACTATGCCATTAAAATTTTAAAGAATAGCCAAGAAGAAAGGGAGGAAACAAACAGAGCAGGTACCACACAGCAGTATAGTAAGATGTCAGGAGAGGTAGGGAGTGAGAGCACTGGTTAATGTGACAGGCATTACAGACAAGAAGAGCCTTGCAACAAAAAAGGCCAAGCGCAGGAGAGAGGAGGGAGGAGGGAAGCACTGAGGTCTGCAAGGGTGACCTGTGCTGGAGCTTAAAAAGCAGGTCAGGGAGGCAGATTTGGACGCAGAGCCTTGCAGGGGTGGGATGGTTTATGTAGTCTTGTTTGTGTATGGATGAGAGGAGGCAGAGCAGCCTCCTGCCTGTGCCCCAGCTCAGTGACCTGCTGATGAGGATTTCAGAGGGAAGCAGTTACACTGGATGTGTCCAGGAGGGAAGTGAGAGCACAGGGGAAGGATTTGGCAAGGCTGAGGACATGAAAAGCTACTCTTAACAGCAAAAAACTCCTTTTTGTTGGATGTACACTTCACATTCCTGCACAGACAAGGGCCTGTTGCTAGACCCCAGAGCAAGGCATTGTCTGATGTACTGCAGAGGAGCTCAGTTTGCAGCATTTCTGGAAAACACTCTTGTGTTCAAATAACCTGCATTTTTCTTTTTCATGCTGACCTCTTCACCTCGATTGATTAATTACATTTTCTTCCTCCTCTTTCTCCTGTCGGTGTTTCCTAATAATGTTGGTACTTCTTCCAAGGTTAATTGAGACACTGACCTTTCCCATCTGCGGCTGCTCATCTGGGTAACATTCAAATGCATTTTGCAGACTCAGCATTGACAGGGTGGCCCTTGAATGGCCATTGACCTGCTCAGCAGGCTGCAAGGGCTGGCATCACCTGAGAGCCTGCAGTGGAAAGATAACAGCTCGATTCTCCTGTCTAATCACCGGAATAGCGGTGTCAATTATACCAATTTCCAGATGGACACAGGGCAAGATAAGGCAATGGGCAATTAGTTATCAAAAACTGCAAGTGCACCTAGTAAGCTGCTGATGTCCAGCAAATGCTTTTTTGGATCAGAGCTCTGTTTCACTACCAGTTTGTTTTGAATAAGGTTGAATGTAAAAAAAGTACAAATAGTTAAATGTAGATTACTGTTAAATAGATGGTATTTTGGGGCTGGTGAGACCTTTCATTGTTTGTTTTGTAAATCACCTCATGGAAGCTAAGACTTGAAGAAAATGTGCCTCTCCTTGCTATTGGTTACTGTGGGAGAAGGTAGAAGAGAGCTGCTGTCAGGATTCAGTGTTTTATGTGGGTGAAGGGAGTGGAAGACGTAGAAAGGCATGTGCTGAAAAGCACAATAGCAACTGAGCCAAACTGGAAGAACAGCTCAGACTGTGTCTAAGGGCTGAACAAGTTGCTTCTTTCTTGCAGAACTGGATGAGTGCAAGACCGGAGAGTCCTGCTGCTCCCAATTCTGCATCAACTATGCAGGTGGATACGAGTGTGCCTGCAAAGCGGGGTTCCAGCCAAATGCCGATGGCTGTGCCTGTGACGGTGAGTCCCTTGATACCAGTGGCTCAGTCTAACTAAGCAAAGCAGTGGATAGAAGAAATGCTGTCAAAGCTCATCAGAGAGCTGTGTGGACATTTCTCTAATAAGAGAATCAGTGACCGTATGCGAGCTTTGCTAAGATTTTGCAAATGTATAATTTCCACTTTGTGAGACTAGAATACAGTAATAACCCAGGATCTGGCATGGAGAAGTGGGTCTGTGGGAAACAAGCCAGCAAAGAGGAATTTTTCCTCCTCTCTCCATGGACACTGTATGTTGATATGTGTTAAAAACTACTTCTACAAGAGGAAAGCCTTCAAAATAACCAAAGGATCAGCTGAGCTTAACAGCTTAAAGCAGCTGTTTTCACTTGAGACAAAAATATAGATGAAATAATCCATTCTGTGTTGTCCTGAAATGTTTTAATATCTCAAATTCTAGTGAGAAGCAGAACCCCCTCCCCCAAATACTAAAAATTCAGGTTTTCATATGTGCAGAATAATTTTTCGGATGCAACCAAGCAGAGAGTGTGCTCTCCAAAGAGAAGGACTTGCACCTAATCAGTATTTGTATCTGTTTTTAATAGACGTGGATGAATGTCGTCTTAATAATGGCAACTGTGACCATTTCTGTGTTAATCTTCTGGGGTCATACAAATGTGCATGTAAGGAGGGTTACAGGCTTGGTGTTAACAGATGGTCCTGCATTGGTAAGTTATTTTTACATACTGGAGGCCATTAAGTATTACCCACTGATCTAAAATGTGAATTCAGAACTGGGATTTTCACAGGTTCTGGGATTTTGGGATCCATCTCTGAATGTGGCAAGGGGAGATCTACATACAACACCAAGTTGCATGATCCCAAGTTATTCCTCAAGAAATGGGTTTTGCCAGAGATAATGGGAGATGAGTGCTTAAATCCCCTGGATATGTTGAAAAACCTAAACCTCACATTCTAGAAATGAATGCTGTTTTTCAGTTTTCTTGCACCTTTTGGTGAAGTTTAGCATCCTGTGGAAAAAAACGTAGCCCAATTGTGCTTTTATGAACTATAGCAAGTTTTCCACTAAAGTCAGTGGTGTGATTCTGGATTTCTGCCAGTGTAACCAGTAGAGAATTTAGCCTAGCAACTTAGTTTTACAACCAAGTTTAGCACCTGTTAAACCTTAGGCAGAGTTTTAACCAGCTTCAAAAAGAAAGCCAAATGATTTCCCATCACTTTTAAGGCTCAAATTTTAGTTTTTCTGAAGATAATTGGACAGCCAGCCTCACTCTATATATGTCATCTCCAAAATGAGCCAAAGTAATGACCTTCATTAACTAAAAATAATATCAAACTTCGAGTGAGGAAAATTAAAATCCTTCTTTAATTTCTTTTTTTGGACTCTCCATGACCAGAGCTTATTTCCAGAAGAAAGGAAAGGGAAGGATTTCCTCTCCTGCTCCCTTTCCCTCCCATTTCTCTCATTTCTCTTTTTTGGGTAGCAGAAACTCTGTACATACAGATGAGAAAACAAATCAGCTGTGACTGCTGTGCAGACTGCACAGTGGTGTAGGTGGAAAATGTACCAGCATAATAAAAATTAAAAAAAAACCCAATACATTAAAAATCTGTAAGGAAGAGTCAGGGCCAGTTCCTGATGGCATGTGTGTGTCAGCCCTAGGTGGGGAGGACGTGGATGCAGAGGAAGCAGTGGGGTTTGCCGGGGCTCCAGGGCTGCAGTTCAGAGATCCCCCGCAGCTCCTTCACTACACGCTTGGTGCCCTCTACGAGGATGAAGATCCACGAGGAGAGCTCACCCTGGTGCACAGGGTCGGTGAGTGAACAAGCATCACTTTTAGCCATTACAGCAAACTGAGGGAATAGTGTCGGAAAGAGAATTCTGCGTGAGAGTCATGCTGGGCTAGCTGGGCTTACACTGTCAGGGATGGAGGATCCCTGTCAGGAGGGATGAGCTTTAATCATTTCTGCCTGTCCTCTATGCCATCAGGGAGGTGGCATTACTACATGTCCCATCCCAAAAGGAACACGTTTGAGGAACAGGGAGGCTCACTGTTCATGGCTGCTGCCTGGATGTGATGCAAGGGATGCGGGGGGAAGCAGGGAAAAAGCGAGAGCACGGCAAGCAGGGGATGGGAGGCTTCTTGGAAAAACAGGTAGTCTGCACAAAGCCTCAGAAGCAACAAGAGAGAGATCCCAGGGCTAGAGGGGTGCATGGGTTATTGCAATGGGTTTGGGGGCGTGTGTGCCCTTTTAAGAAGCCCTTTTATAATCACTGTAGGGTTTTTGCTTAATATATTTGCATTCTTTTTTGTGGAAAAAAACAACCCTCTGGAGATTCACATCCCTTTGGATGCTTTGAGCATGTTCTCTGGAAAAAGTTGGGTCACATCTACATAATGCTCAGGCTGGCCAAGGGCTTGGCATGACTGGTGGCAAAGAGAGCACATGAGCCCACACAGTCACAGGAGTAAGTGCAAAAGCTGTTTTGCACCCCACCTGAGCTTTGCATGACTTCAGTCTTTCCACCTGAAGGTAGAAACTTCATCACCTAAAGAGTATTATGAGTTGAAACCCTGTGCTTTCTTTCTGATGAGTACAGTATGTGCCAGTGGTCCCCAGGGAAGAAAGAAATTTCTTATTTTTATTATATATGTCCTGTGATTTTTATATGAGCTTTAATTACTCATCTGAGTACTGTGCCCTATAGGCAAAAATCAGGAATTGGTCTTGGATTTAATAAAAAAATTAACTTATTTTTATGAACAAAACAGTTAAGGCCTCCCAAATCACACAGCATCTAGTCGGACTCAATGACACTGGTAGCCAATTGGGAAACTGATAAATGAGATAACCACAGGCAAAATTATCAGGCCTGGAAACCAGAATCAAATATTTATTGACTGGTTCTTGCATGTTTTATTTATATTTAGCTACATAAATTTAGATGTTATCAGTCATAGCAGAGCATCTGCACTTGTTCTGAAGCTGAGGCTTTGCAGCACATGATGGAAGGAAAAGGTGAGGGAGAAATGGAACTTCTAATGGTTTTAATAAGTGTTTTTAACTCCCAAATACTGATTTATTTCTCATACTTTCAGACATATTTCTGTGCTGCTATCTATATTGTAAACCCCCATGCTTTAACAGTAAACTGGCAAAAGTAATTAAATATTTTCTATAACTTGAATGACTTGAATGTAGAAGCATGTTTTTACCAGTAATCTGTATTATTCTCCTGAAGTATGAACTTACAACCTGTTCCAGGTGAGAGCACTGGGATTCTGAATGTCTCTGGAAGCTTCAGCATTTGTTGAGCTAACAAGAGAAAAGAATAGCTTGGTGCTGAGACCTAAAGGAAATCTGGCCCCACATGGAAAATTGCTGGCGAGAAGCAACTAGCCTGCTGACTTACTGTTAGCTGAAACAATCTGCCAGCTCACTTTCAGGTGTTCTAAATCCCTTTCCAAAATGCTTCCAGCCAAAGCCATAAAGCCTCAGAGGCAGTAAACTGACCATGTGGATAGGATCTTAATGACACCAAGGTATTTTAGCAGCAAGTAACATTTATTTTCTATGCCTTTCTCAATAGATCTCACAATGAAAGATCATGAGGGTGCAGGTGTCTGTGGGCGTAAGGGAAAAAAGGAGGTTGGGGAAGGTGAGGGAGAAATGCATTTTCACATAAGGCTTCCCCTATAAACTAACCCTTTTTTCATATCTGTGAAGAAAAAGGAAGGGATAAATGTCTATCATGCTTTGTTTTCCTAGAATAACACTCAGCCTCTGCTGTTAAAAATATCACTGAGCTAAGCTTAAATAGCACCACATCCACCTACTGCAATAGAACAAAAAGCATAGCCTAGTATGGAGAAAAAGAGATTCTCTCCCACAGAATACTTCTAATTGTATACAGTATTATCAAGCTTTTATTAGGTGAAAATTCACTTTTTCTGAAGGCAAGATACTTGCTTTTAAAAAGTAGTTTTAAGTGTTCTTTGATAGGAATTACAGCATTTAAAGGACTACATTGCAGCATTTAAAGGAATAAATTCCAGCTAAGTCTCAGCTTTCCTTTTATTTCGACTATAAAATTTGGAGAGGGAAGTTTAGGAATCACTATTTGGGACATGAAATGAATCAGTGGTATTTGCAACATTACCAGCATTAATGCTAGCAACATGATTGCTTTTTTTCTCAGACTGTCAATGTTGCGTAGGTTCCTTTTTACACTTACACGTCTGGGATGAGAGGTGAAAGCTTGTGGAAGTATTTTGTCTGTATGCTCACTAAGCCGCCTGTATTTTTTCATTCCAGTTTGCCTTGATAACGCATTCGGCAATGACTGTAGCTTGAGCTGTGAGGATTGTCTGAACGGAGGCAGATGTAACAGTGAACACAGTGGCTGTGTTTGCTCACCTGGGTGGACTGGCATTATCTGTAATGAAAGTGAGTACAGTGAGTTTCAAAGGTGAGGACTTTGTCCTAGTGCTGTGATGCTGCAGATAGGTAGGAAATAGGAATAACCTGTTGTACTTTTAATCTGTAAAGCTCTCTAAGGAGCACAGCTGTCTCATAGACAGGTCAAACTTTATTATAATGAGGTACATTAAAGAGAAATTATAAGGGATGCTAAAATATATAGTACAAGCCCTCAAACAGCGGGGTCCCTGCCTACCTGTGCAGTATTGTACAGTATTTGTCTGGTGTTCATTCCTATTCATTCTGCTGCAAAAAAACTGCTTAAGTTTGCCTGCAATGCTTCATTCCACAACTTGCCTTACTGACTTTCAGAAGTCTGTCCCAGCAGGTGGTGTGACAGTCTGGGTAGACACATGTACTAAGCTTGATTTTTTTTCCATTGTAGCATCCCAAGACATTGCCTTTTTAATTTTTTTAACTTGCGTCGGTGAACTTGGGCATGGTTTTTTCCCCTTATCATTCTTTTTATTATTAGCATCATTTTCATATGATGTTTAATTTTTAATATTGGAAATTTTATATTTCAGAATTCTCCTACCAAGTCAAACAGTGTCCTTTGTAACAGCTTTTTACTCTCCTTATTCCTGCTTCCTGGCAGAGGATCCTTCTGGTTCAGAAGTCTGTGTCAAAACCAACTAGAACCGTAGAGTGGTGATTTCTTGATGTACCATGCACTGTTCTTCATCTGTAGTTTCGCAAAACTTGTCTGTTGCTTGTCTGAGACTACATGGTAGGTCTCCTGCATGTTTGAGATAGGTCCCTCTGTTTTATGGTGTGTGGCATGATGGCCCATCATACTCAGAAAGTCTGTTCTGTCACTCATGAGGCAGTCAGTGAAGAAATATTATTCAGCATCGGTAGACATCAATGTTCAGGTTAACGTAATCAAGATTGTTCAGGAGTCATCATCACAAGGACATAAATATAGAAAAAAAGGCAAATTATTGAAACCAACAGTCTGGCCAAAATTAGTTTGTGTGGCTGACCCTGAGTTTGGTTTGTGAACACTGGGGACAGCTAAAAGAATAGATATGAAGAGAATTAAAATGATAGTTTCTAGTCTACCTAAGACTATAGACCAGTTAGATTATTCTTACATCTATTCATGGTGCTCTAGTTGTTCAGAACAGGTCATAAAAACTTCAAGAGAGGATCCAAATTCTTTAGTCCACTTCATAAATAATAACATTTTTGCTTTATTTTTACAGTAGATATGCATGCATGTAATCTGGTGGAAACCACCACCATAATTTAAAGAACTTTAATGGGATGCATTTAATGCATTACTGAGCAAAACCTGCAACCCAATGCCATAGTCATTGGCAATTATAAATACAATAGATAATCTATGATTTAGTCATGAGATTGCTTTCACTCTTTTCTATTTTTTTCTTAACGTACAGCATAGTTAATGGATTTGGAGTGAGACAAGCAGTTGAGAAAACTGAAACTAAATTTTGGTAATAACGCACCAAAGAAGCTGAATGGAAATTGATGTGAAATGTCAAGTTTCTTAATATACATTGATAAAATGCCAGTTAAGTCATATGACTCCAGCATTTACTCAGCTAGCTCAGGCTGTGGTCGGTGGATCAAGGCTTCATTTCACAATTTGTTTTGCACTGGAGTGATGATAGGGAGGAATCCTGTTGTGGATCTGTTTCTGCCATGATCATCTGGGGAATTTCAGAGACTATGTTAGAAAAACATAATGTTAGTTTTATAATAGTATTTGGGGAAAAAAAATAAGCTTTGTTCTTAACAAGCAATGTTTTTTGAGCCTTGTGCATTGTGTGGAGGGAAGCATGCGCAGTGCAGAATTTGAATACATCATGCAGTACTTCACGTAAGTCAGCTTAATTCAGGAGTCCTTTTAAAATTAAATAGTGAATATCAGACACATGTGCCTTACCTTATATAGAAAGAATATGACTTTGATTAGAGCTGCTTGACTAAAAGAATTCTCATTGCTCAGTTTTGATGACTGGAGTGTTAGTTTGTAAAGGGACAGGATTTCATGGCCCTTTCATTTTCACTGATTTCTCCACAGCTTGCTCCCAAGGGACATATGGCAGAGGATGTGCCAGCATTTGCAAGTGCCAGAATGGAGGCTCATGTGACCCTGTCACAGGGCAGTGCCACTGCCCACCCGGTGTGCACGGCAAGCTCTGTGAAGATGGTATGGCTCCCCTTGTATTGCCTGAAACCTCACTGTTTCTTTCCCTTTGTTTCTATCTAGATGTAATTGTGTGTGGTAAACCTTAGTGGTGCTAATGAGAAGAGTCTCAATTGTGTGAGATGTAACCCTGCAGCTTGTTTTGCGGTGGCTTTTGTTTAAATAATATGCAAGACAGAGAAAAAACACGTGCCTTGTAAGGATGGGCTCACAAGCCCCAGGTCAGCAACAAGGCAACCTAGTCTTTTCTGTAGCGCCAACTAAAAGAGAGCTGATTTGATGTTTATGTTTTAACACTTAACAGCTGATGCCTTGCTGTGTTTGTGCACTTAAAAGGTTGCCCGAAAGGCTTCTTTGGGAAGAACTGTAATAAACCATGCAACTGTGCCAACAATGGCTATTGCCACAGACTCTATGGAGCCTGCCTCTGTGACCCAGGGCTTTATGGGCGCTTCTGCCATCTTAGTAAGTTTCTGTAATTTTTTTGATCTGTTTAACATATGCACAACATAACGGTGTCTAAAAAATTCCACATCACATACAAAATGAGTGGGGCTTTGGGTTCTGTGATGAACTGGGAGTAGCAGGAGGACGTGACTGTGGATGCATGCCAGGAAGCCCCAGAAATTTTATTAATCTTTTCCTCTAGCAATTAAATTTGGCCATAAGGACTGAGATTTACTGATATGCAAAGGTGAGGACTATAGGTAGGGTTGGTTTGGGTTGGACAGGTTAATGTCAGTGTTGTTAGTGAGGCTAATGTCCAGCTGGAGTTAGGGGCTGCCAATAATGTCAGAGTAGGAGCTGAAGAGTAGGGCTGACTGGGGCACGATGAGGATGAAATGTCAAATGGGGATGCAAATAATCAAAACTAAAATATTAAAATATGGCTTACAGCTTTTGTTCCTAAATCTATGCAAGATTAGTTGTGTGATTTGGTTGGTTTTTTGGTTGGCTGGTTGGGTGGGTTTGGGTTTTTTAAGAGAAGATTTTGTCTTGGAGTGTATCCAAATATTTTTTTTTATTCAGAAGCTTAACTAAGTTTTCTTTGAAACGTTTCTGTTTCTTGCATTTACCACATATTGCTTGAAATGAAATTAATTACTTAATATAGGAGTCATGTAAATCATATTTTACACACCCACACATTAATAGGCACCATCATAGGAACGTGGACATATTTGCTGAAAGTAAAATGAACGTTTTGCTTTTTTGCAGCAGTTGCATTCTGCAGCAGTATGCAATTTCAAATAACTCATGCATAATTACAGAGCTAATTATTCCTTTTTATCTGGCTGCAGCCTGTCCCAGGTGGGCCTTTGGAGCTGGCTGCTCAGAGGAGTGTCAGTGCATGAAAGAGCACACACTGGAATGCAACGCAAGGAATGGGACTTGCACCTGCAAGCCTGGTTATCATGGCAGAAAGTGTCAGAAAGGTATAACAGAAAGCCAGATTCCCCATGTCTGCTTATTCCTTTGTCACAGCATTATTTCTCATTTGCTTTGTTTGGTTGCTGCTGCTACTAATACTCATACTCTGCTAATTATTTTGTCTGTGGTTTTTCATACATCAAACACTGTGAGTGCTGGCTATCACAGGGTTTACAGGGACATCAAAGAAATACAGCTCAAGAATACAGGAGTTTTAGCCTGAGCAAATGACAACAGAAATCTAGAAACAAAATTCTAATACAGCCCTAAATAATGAAGACTGTGGGAGTTACCACTTCTGTTCCTTCCTTTTTCTGCACAGACAGTAAATAAGTGGCAAAAACTCTTTTATGGCAGCAGGGTTATTTGTAAACAGTTTCAGTAATGCTAGTTCAGGTTTGTAGGTCTTTGAATTCAACTTACTCTTTGTAGTTTTTGGGGGTAGTTGAAAGAGAATTGTATTCCACATTCATGTTTGCATGTCTCAGTAGCCCTCTCCAGACAGTAATGGAGTAACGCAATAAAGATTCTTCCTTCAGATTCCTCGCTGGGCAGGCAGTAATGTGTCAGATTTACGACACTGGTTGTTGGAAGGAGGTTGGTGGAGAATAACAGTGATGGTATTTAGCATCTTTAGCATTCTTGGTGATGTGCGTAGTTCTGGGGGAGACCATCCTTCTCCCAGCACTGGCTTTGCACCAAGGCAGAGAGCAGCAGAAGGTACAGACAGATAAGAAGAGTAATTCTGTAATGGCTATAATTAAATATATCCTTAAGTACACTGCCGTTCTGTTTATGGCTTGTATTTAAGCTGTAACCTCTTTGAAATGTCCACACAAGTGTTTAATAAGTATTTATGCTTCCTTATCAGCACCTCTAAAATGTATATTATAACATATTTTCTGCAAGTTTCTGCTAAATTATTTTCTGACTTCTGTTCAGTTTTCTTAATTTTTCCTTTTTCTTATATATGTTGTGTGTCTACTTGCATTTTCCAGAGTGCACGCCTGGATTTTATGGGACTGGTTGCAAACTGAGGTGTAACTGTCCTACTGATGTTTTGTGTGATCATGAGACAGGAGTCTGCCAACATCCATGTCCCCCCGGATTTCATGGAGAAAAATGCCATTTATGTAGGTACTCATCACATGTTTTCCTGGGAGGTACTCTTGGGGTGGGAAAGCTTACTCAGGAAACTTATGTTCAGATACAGAAGTTGCAAATAAAAGGGTTCATTTGTTGTTGGTACGGGTTGGCAGTTCCCCACTGAAGCCAAACTCGTATTTGGAGCCTGACAACTACTATGTCTCCCTGCTTGCAAGGGTCGAGGCACAAGGCCGAAGCCAGGTGCTAAAACAAACATTTGTCCAGGTAACTCTGGTTCCTTTTAAAGCTTCATGGGCAGATTTTCTAGAGCTCTGCTGCAGTTAACTACAGACCATGAGTTGATGAGACACTGATGCAAACATTGATCACTTTGTACCTGCACAATTCAGTTTGAAATTGCTGCTGGTGGTGCTTCCTAATCTTGGAAATGCTTCCTTATGCTAACTCAGTGTTTGGGTTTCTTTTGACCAGCCTGTCAGCCTGGGAGTTTTGGTGTGAACTGCAGGCAGAGGTGCAGCTGTGGAGAAGTGCCATGCAATCCGAAGACAGGACAGTGTATTTGCCCAGCTGGGAAGACTGGTGCTACATGTGAGCAAGGTGTGTTAGATGTTGGACTAGGGTAGTGAAAGTCTTTCTTTGGAAGACGTGAGAAGAATTGGAATTACTCTGTTTCCCACTAAAACTGCTGCAGTACAATACGCTTCATTGGCAGAATAGGTAAAGGGTAAGTCTTGGTACAGATCACATGACATCCACCACAGGGGGTTGCTTGCAAAGGAAGGAACATGTTTCAGTTACCCTGAGCCACCTTTCTGCTCCAGTTAATAATAGTGATTTATGTGTTAGGCTGTTGGGCAGAGATATTGGGGCATTGCAGCACCTCTGAGTCCCAGAGCAGAACTTGGGACTGTGCTGCCATATGCACCCAGTGTTCCTCGGGAGGTGCTGAAGGGCCTTGGCCAAAGACAGCTATTGTGGAAAACAGCAAGTTAACAGAGGAAGGAATTAAAAAGGAGAGCATTACTGTGGATAACTAAGTAAATGGATTAAAAAAGTCTCAGGGATACTAAACTACTAAGGCGCCATGGGTTCCCCCTCTACCACTTGCAGACCTCTGGCTGTTGCATACCTGAGGAACATCTGCCCTGTCTGGACCCAGGTTGTGGCTCACCACTGCAGGAACCTGATGAAGGAGGTGGAGTTGTATGGCGACCTGGGCTCCACCTCACAGGCACACCACTACAGAAGTTTTAAGAGAGCCTTTGGGTCTCTTTTTAGATGTGTTCTCATCTGCTGCATTACAGAGGCATGTTGACTCTCAGGTTTAATGTGACAGCACTGTAGGTCTGTAGAGAAGATACAACCATCCTTTATCCAGCTTAATTTTACTAATATTTTTAAATTCTTCACGATAATGGCACAAATTTATAAGTTCCTTGAAACAGAAAATGGCACTGGAGACATGTCATGTGCTTTTTTCATCCAGATTGCCCAGCTGGTCAGTGGGGACCAGACTGCCAGTACTCCTGTGAGCCCTGTGCCAACGGGGGACAATGCAACACAGAGACTGGAGCCTGCGATTGTCCTCCAGGCTACAGTGGGGCATCCTGTTCCACATGTAAGTTCTCACATTGGCCTTCCCCATGAAAAGACAGTCAAGTTGTGGTTTGATTTCTACATTCTTGCTCTTTTGTGAGATGCTTGTTAGGCTAGATACACTGAGCCAAGATAAATTACCTTTTAGCTTCAGGAATTCTCTGGGTTGAATTTGACATTATTTACCAGAAGGAGAATACAGATGAATGCAGATGACCAGCTAAACTGCATCTCAAATTGGTGTTATCATTAGACCTAATTAAGGACAATATGTCCTTAGAAAGACAATGTTTAATAGGCACAATACTTGTATTGCAATCCTGGTTGCTTGTCAAGGGGTGCTGACCAATTGGCCCATACAGCATCACTCTTGTGTATGTGCAACAACACTCCTTGGTATATATACTTCAGGATTAAATAACACTAAGGATGGTGGAGTAGTATCAGTGTTCTCTCTGCAGATTGACCAGAGACCATAGGAATATGCTCACACAAGTGGTCTGTGGTATGGCTCCTTGTCCAGTCTCTGGGTATTAAAGGCTACTTTGAGTATGGTTGTCATGCTGACATAGACAGGCCCTCAGGGATAGCACTGCTTCATGCAAGACCTCTGTGGTGGCATCTCTTTTCTTCTTGTTAGTCAGAAATTCACTTTTGATGAAGGTTTGCTTAGCACTGTATTTCCTCTGATTGATCCTGATGTGCAGGAGAAGTAACCGAAAGTCACTCAAGCTATTCCCACTTTGCAGGACTTGGCCCCAGACACCTAGTATACAAATTACAGATGTTTAATTTTTCCACTTTGATTTCTAGGTTCAGCTTATGCATGTTTTAGGGGCAAGCTGTTGCTGTCTTGTTTGAAAAGATCAGTCTGTGCCTGAGTTACTACCTAGGTGCATCTGTTTTCAGCCTGCCCCGATGGTTATTATGGACAAAACTGCCTGCTGTTATGCAGTTGTAGCGGCAGTGCTCAATGTCACCATGTCACTGGAGAGTGCACATGTTCCCCTGGCTGGACTGGCCATGACTGCAAACACCGTAAGTCAACTGCATATTTACTCTACAGGGTATATGTTATCTCCCAGGGACTGAACTTAAAATGTAAAAACCAGCTCCGTTTGTTCTTAGTCTATTACAGTTTTTTAATATACTTTTGCTAATCTTATTGCTTCTGAAATTGTGTGTTTATGGGTTTTCACAGCCTGGGTGGTTATAATCCTTAATTATCTAGGTTCAAAGTATTGAAATAGATGGCTGATGAAGCACAAAGTATTGATATAACTTCTTATTTCAACGCTATAGATCCCTTTGCCTAATACCATCTGTCCTGACAGCACTTTGACTGACAGTTTTGGTTTTCATTTTCAGCACAGATTAGTTTCAAGTTTAATTCTCAATTTTTCATTTTGTTTAGAGATTTATTCAACAAGTGAGTGGCATGTACAGTTGCGTGTCTTAAGGTCACTTCTTAACTTGTGAATATAAATGCTGGGAGAAATTCTGTTCCCTGGAAGAGCAGAGCATCCTTCTGTTGACTTTCATCACTCTCCATATTGATGGCCATGTAAAAGTGCAGATTTGCCCTTTTTAGATAGCACCATATAAATGTTAAGTGATCTTAGAATCATAGAATTAAAGAATAGTTAGGGTTGGAAAGGACCTTAAGATCAAGTTCCAACCCCCCTACCATGGGCAGGGACACCTCGCTCTAAACCATATCACCCAAGGCCTCGTCCAACCTGGCCTTGAACACTGCTTGATTCTTTTCTTTTCCTCTTTCATATATTTTCTGCTTGATTTATTACGACCCCTCTTGTAAGAAGCCAACAGGATGCAAACCTCATTCTAAACTTGGTCTTGAACAGATAAAATCATGTAAATTAATTGCCAGTGTTGACAGAAATAAGCTTTGGACCTGGCTTCTCAGGCTCAGAATTGAAGAACACGCTGGGAAAATCTGTATTTTCCACCAATATACATATTTTAAAAATCAAATCAGTTGGTAACATGTAGAGTCATTTGGATAGCTTTCATGACTCCCTAGGCTGTGTAAAGAATTAAGAGACCTGGCAAAGAAAAGCTTTTACTTCTATTCAGGATAAGATATAAGAAAAGTTGTTTTGCAAAGATGTCTCGGTAACGCAGTGCTGCCAGCTATTGCAGAATGGGCTTGAAATGGATGCCCAACTCCAGAACCAGGTTACTGTTGCCTTAATTGGAATTTTCATCTTTATTCTTGCAAGAATGGAAGGAGATGCTATGGTACATTGTCATAATCCTGTCAGTGTTAGGTGATTTTTAGAATGAAAACAGGAAGTTGCTTTAATAAAGATTGTGAAATTTCTCTGTCTGTATCCTTGTTGCATTTCACAGTATTTTTGAGGAAAATATGGAGGATGCTCACAAATCTCTCTAGTTTTACCCATTCACTATTCTGATTATGCAGATTTTTGCAAAGTGAGTCAATAGCTGATGTTTTATTTCCATGAAATTATGCACTTGTGACTGTGGAATGATTGATATGGATTGGCTGTGAATGATTATTTTTTTGTGGATGGTATAATATCTGCCTACTTTCAGCTGAAGTAAATTGGCAAAAATGTATTTATTTCTATCGATTTGTGTCCCATGCTGCAGTGGAGAGCCTAGTCCAGAACTCCTGTGTCTTAAGGGGTCATTTTGCATTTTCTGGTCTTATTTAGATGTAAAATAATTCATTAGGCAAACTTAAAGCAGATTCTTAATGTAAATATCTTTTTACACTGCAGCCTGCAATAGCGGCCATTGGGGACAGCACTGTGAAAACACGTGTGTCTGCAATAACAGCGACGGTAGCTGTGACCCAGTCACTGGCTCCTGCTTCTGTGAGCCAGGATTCACTGGGAAACACTGTGAATGGAGTAAGTTGCCACTTTGTCAACACAAGGAATTTGCAAAACCAAGCAGCGGAAATTGTGTTTTTCCTGATAATTCCCTCCAGGCTGTCCTGCCTCCGGTCTGCCCAGCACATCACAGGGCTCTCAGGTTTCATTTGGGTTTGATAGTTTCCCTAATTTTGCTTCCAGAAAAGTTATTTTCAGACTCATTTTGGACTCAACAGCTATTTTTAATGTTAAGACCTCATGTGAGTTATAGGAGTGTTGTATATTTGGCTTGTGCTGTTAAAGTTTCTATACTGGTTTTATTTATCTGGTTTTAGGTCTGCACTATTTCTTTGTAAATACGCAATGGTCTTACCAGAGGCCCATGATCTCCACTAATTTATCTCTAGCAGAGGCCAATAGCAGTTGCCTTAAGAGGATAAAAACATATAGATATAGATATTTATAATATAAATAATTTCTGATACGTTTCCACAGGTATCATGGTTTAAGGTTCTACCTAATGATATCTTGATGGCATCAGGGTACACTGTGAACTGTTATCTGCTAGAGCCTTATACTTCTGTGGGACTGATATGCCAGGCCATCTGATCCACGCAGTCCAGTAAATCCGATTGTCCCTCTCCTCCACGTGGCTGTAGGCAGACCACTTCTAATAGCGATCTTAAGTTTCTTCACTTACTTCATGTATAAAGGGATTGGATTAGAATTCCTTTTCCTAAGAGTCAGAGTAAAATCAACTCTTTCATTCCATCTGGGAAACTGCCCACCAGAGTCTGGAACTGTAAATTTCTTTGGAGGATCCCCATTCACTGTTGTTGTTCCTCCTTTATCTTCCCTCTCGAGCAATAGAACACTTACTGTTAATAGCTGAGGTGTGGGTCTGTACATGTGGGGAGCTGGGTATATTGTCTCTCAATTGCTTGAACTCCTGGAGAGGAGTTTTTCCACAGCTGAAATGCTGGAGAGGCAAGATTGTCTTCAAACAATTCACTTCATCCACTGTTGGTGGTGCTGCATCCACCCAGCTCATTGTTGCCAATGAGTTGGTATATCATGATGGCTCCATGTAAATTTCCATCACATGGGTCATGTATATTTGGCTTCATCTGGATCTATGGGTATATCATCTGACTTATGATAGATCATCTCTAGAATGGTTAATTCCCTCAGGCAGTGGAGGCCTTTCTCTATTGTGGTCTACTTGCCTGGGCAACGTATAACATCTTCCTTGTAGGGGTACCGGTCTTTCACAGATGGCAAGAGCTGCTTCAAGAGGTTGAGGACTCTTTTGCAGTCACTTTGTCAATTCCCCCTTCCCTAGCAAGTGATCCCAGCTTCTTGGCTTCCTTACCCGCTAGCTTGTGACTGTTGGCCTCGTTGTCCCAGCATCAGAGTATCCAGGTGATGATGTGCTCCCCTGGAAGATGGCTGAAATCTTTTCATGTATTCCACAGCTCAGTAAAGGACAGGGATAGGAAAATTACTTCTTGTTCTGCCTCTTCCTCTGTTTCTTGTACTGATTCCTCTCTTTCTGGTGTCGCCCCCTCTAGTTCTGGCATGAAAACTTCATCTTGCTTCACTACATGAGTTGCTTTTTGTTTCCATTTCCTCTTGCATATAGGGGCAACTGATAGCAGCACAGATTGGTCTTTTGATTCAGCTGGGTTTGGAGTGACTGGAGTGTCTTTCAATGTGGTTGAAGGGGTTGCAATGTCTGTTGTCAGAGTTGGAGTAGTTGCTGTGCTTGTTGCTGGGGTTGGGATAGCTGCTGTGCTCGTTGTTAGGGATGGAGTAGCCATGGTATCTGTTGCTTTGCCATTAGATCCAGAGACATCCTTTTCCACCTGAGGGTACTAGGTAGTGTTCAGCAGGACTCTGTAGGCATAGGCCAAGCCCCAGCACGTTGCAGTTATTTGTATCTCCCTGGTATTGCTAGGATGACAGCATGCCTTTTTTAAGTGTTTTACTAGTTTTTATGGATTTGGACTTGTTCAGGGTTGAAGTTCCAAAGCACTGGAGGGAAGCACTGGCCTAGATATTTGCCCATACTGTCCCACACACCCTGCCACTCATGACTTTCTAGCCTCAGGGAAGATATCTTGGTGGTATTCTTAGATAGTTGTTTAACCTTAGACAACACCTGAACCATATTCAACAAAGTGATGGTTCCCGGCAAAAGAAGCAGGCTGGTTTCAACGGTATTCAAAGGTTATTCACAATCTTTGAAATTCTTAAATGCCATTGTAAATAGCCTGGTGGGGAAGGGGAAGATGCGAGATGATGTCTCCTTCATAGGTTGGGCCTCCAAGGGAGTTAAAAACGAGGTGTAACTATAAATAATTCCCATTACATAGGTGATGGCAATGCTGAGAACACATACCAGATCAGTTTAATGATCAATAATTCTACCATATCAGAAGCAATTATCATAAAGTACAGCAAAACGAGAACGTTAGCCCAGGCCCCCCAAAAAATGATAAACACTAAAACAGCAAATCATGGCTGCAAGTAAGGTGTGACTAAAAGAAACTGTGAGGCTAAGTGCAACAACTCCAAGAGAAAATAAATCAATATTATGACAAGTGACAATACAAAACAATGAATACTTATCACAAATATGATTAGACACACTCTGGTCAGATCTGTCGTTATCTCAACCTTTCCTGCCCCACGTTGGGCACCACAAAGGACTGTTGTGGTTTAAGGCCAGCTGGTAACTCAGAACCATGCAGACACTTGCCCACTCCCCCTTTCCCTCTCCTCCGGGTGGGATGGGGAGGAGCATTGAAGGAATATAGACCCCAGGGGTTGAGATAAGAACAGCCCAGTAACTAAAGTATAATACAAAAAGTACTACTACTACTAATAATAAGGGAAATAACAAGGGGAGAGAATAAAAAAAATAAAAGGGGAAAGGAAAAAACAACAATAAACACAAGTGATGCACAATACAGTTGCTCACCACCCGCTGACTGATACCCAGCCCGGTCTGAGCAGTGATCTGCCCTTCTGGGTAACTCCCCCCCAGTTTATATACTAGGCATGATGTGCTGTGGTATGGAATACCCGTTTGGCTAGTTTGGGTCAGCTGTCCTGTCTCTGCTTCCTCCTGGCTTCTCCTCCTCCCTGGCAAAGCATGAGACTGAAAACTCCTTGATTGGCATAAGTATTACTTAGCAACAACTAAAACATCAGTGTGTTGTCCGCATTGTTTTCAGACTGAAGCCAAAGCACAGCACTGCACCAGCTACTAGGAAGGAGAAAAAAACCTCTTACAGCTAAACCTAGGACACCAGGTTTCATCAGTTTGCCACTCAGGAGCTTCTTGAGACAGAAGCAATATCTTTATATTTAATACAACTTGGGTTTTTTTTGTAATTAATGTGCCTATTTCCTTTTTGATTCCATGCAGACTTTTGGTATCTACTTCATCTTGTGGCAATAAGTTGCATAGTTAGGTATTATTATTATTAGTAGTAGTAGTATTATTAAGTTGTTAAATAAAATAAATATTCTATTTATTAGTTTAACAGTCTTAACAGTAGCACATACATAACTACCAGGTTCTCAGTAGTGTAGGCAGAATTAACTGTTGGCGTCATACAGAAATGTCAAAACAATTTATCTGGAGCAGTGACCAAAGACAAGAATCTTGGAAAGTTGATCTTACAGCTCCTGTTGTTGTCACAGAGGGAGTGGAAGGAGAGTTAGTCGGAAAGACCAGCTCCCAGAGAAAAAGGTGCCAGCTCCACTTCTCTTTCATTCTTGACCTCTCTCAAAATAGCATCCCTGCAGGCAGAAGGTAGCCGAAGAGCTGGTTGTAATCTTCTCTGGCAAGGTAAGCAGGGAAGCCATTGTCACTGACAAAACATCTGGCAACCTCTAGCATTCTGTCTGTGGGTTTCCTGTTTTATTCAGTCTGCTTTTTATCCCACTTTAGTTGTGTGTGTATATACATATATATACATGCATATATGTGTGTGTGCAGGATTATGAAAGCCATAATTCTTCCCAAAACATTTTATGCTGCCTTTGAGGTAAGATCTTTACTGTGTCTGGAAAGCTCCTTTCCTCCTGAGGCATCTCTAGCTTCTTGCTGCAGGTTAGGCTGTTTGTGGCTTTGCAGGCAGCTCAGGTTCTCCAGTGGGGTGGATGTATCTCAGTACACACTGCAGCAGCCCATGCCTGCTCAAGCAGGGGGCAGATTCTCTGTAATATGGACTGCAAAATCATCTGTTAAGTGTACTGATCTTCTGCCATTACCTTGAAAGTCTCACCTCAAGGTTTAATGCTGTAGGTTTGTAGAAAGCTCAGCTGAGAGCCCCACCCCTATTTCTGCACTGGAATACTATTTTCCTTGCATAAACTCTCTGGGTTCTGTCTGAAATTTCAAGTGAAAAGTAAACACTGAGCAGGATGAAGCTTTTAATGCACAAGTGCACTCCTATCTATTTACTCATTAAACTAGTGTAAGGAGCATGCTGCCTGGTGACCTGCAGCTCTGGGAATAGGAGGTGATGCAAATGGGGTTTTACATTGGTTCCATCCTGGCACTGAACTTCACCTGTAAGTGCAAAAAATAGATTTGAACAACTCCACATTTGAAAAACAGCCCATTTTCTGACACAGATGATTGAAAGCAAAGAGGCACTCAAGGTACTTTGCTATTCTGTCTCCCATCCCAGCCTATAGCCCCTATAAGAGACCCAGGGGCTGGCATCAGTAGAGGGTCCCTAAGCTGCAGGAGCAACTAAATTTGTGCTGGCTCCGACCACTGCTCACCTATGGCATGAAATAGGCAACACCAAACCCATCCATTTATTCCAGATACAGAGTTGTCTTTGAGGACCCTCGTTGTTCTCTTTTCTCTGTAATTCTTTCCAGATTGCCCGCAAATCACTTTGTTGATGTAAATGCTAAAATCGTACATTTTTAAGAAAGACCTGGCAATAATCTCTGTAACTCATTTAGAAAAGAGTTCACAAAATCCTTCAAACATGAGTAGAGGCCATGTAATACTCTGTTTAGCCAAGTACATATCTACATTTCAGCCTGTCCAAAATGTCTAACATGAATTACACAACTTGTCCTGTTCTTAATTGGTTTTCCTATAATCCTGGAAGAAATTATTTTCATTTTCAAGTGTTGTTTCTTTCTTCCAATAGTGAATACCATGCAAATTTTTTAAAACTCCTTATATTACTGCTGTAGAAATGTAATTGTTAATCTGTCCTCCAGATGTAATGCTTTGCTTGAGTTTTTCAAAGCAGAACCTGAAAATAAAGTACATGCAGAATTCAATTTGGAGCTTTCTGAAGGAATCTACTACAATTCATATTTTCTCCATATTTCTGGGTGAGGAGGATTTGCAGGAAAATAGGACAGGGCCTCAAAAGGAGGCACAAAAGCTGGGAGCTTTCATCCTCCTGGCTGGTGAAGTCCCAGAGGAGATGTGCACACATGTGACTCCAGACGAGTGTGCAAAGTGTCATCAAGCAAAACCTGGGAAGTCACAGGCTTTGCAGCTATCAGATGAGATTAGTTTTCTGTGCAGAATTCAGATTTTTCAACACTGTGGCATTTTTCTAAAATAGACCGTAATAAAAACAGCCCAACTTACTTGGACCCCAAGGAGAACACTTAATCACATCAGTTTTAAGGCATTACCATTATGCCTGGATTATTCTTTTGGAAATAGTAAGGATTCCCATGTATCTAAAAATTCCTCATTGATCCCTGATCTGCTCCAGAATTAACCTGTCATCTGGTTTTGATTCCTTTGCTGCAGGGTGCCCTGAGGGAAGCTTTGGCCCGAACTGTGATCACAGCTGTCAGTGCCAGAATGGAGCTGCCTGCGACCATGTGAGCGGAGCCTGCACTTGCTCAGCGGGCTGGACAGGAACCTTTTGTGAAAGAGGTACTGCTGCTCCTTCTGGTCCCTTTCAGGTTTATGCAGATGGGATTTTTTTATGCACAGAGTTGGTTTTGCAAATTACAGCACCTGATATAAATAAACCATTGAACTAAATTGGAGGACGTTATTGAAATGTGCACTTCCATCCTAACTCAGGAAGAATTTGCTAGGTGCCTAACGATGGGCGCATGTTTTAAAGTAGATAAAATTAGGTACATGCTTAAGACTCCTTGAGATTAAGATTCCTTAGATTCCTTATGAATCACATCTTTATGAAGACTCTGTTTAAGCAGAGTCCTACTGTCTGAACACTGAGCAGGAAGATACTTGTCCTGCCTTACACTTGCTTGTGCCTAGTGGCTCTGACATGTTTTAGGGAAAAACATGGATCTGTGAATCATCCCAAAGGAACTCTTTAAGAACAGATATACTTTAACTTTAATAAAGCCAACAGATCATTTTCTATTACCTGATCATTTGGTAAAGTGTCGGAAAGATTGAATTGGATTGCTTAGATACATTATTGTGACTTGCATCACCTAAGGAGGTTACTGTCATGCTGCATCATTGCACAGATCATATAAAACAGTGTCTTGAATGCAACATAAGCAGCACATAGTCAGACATTATGAAAGTTATTTAAGTGTAAATGATTGAAGAGTCTACAAATGATGATCATTAAACCAAAGTCACAATTCTTTTGCCTATCAGACGTTTTACAGAGGTAGCATCATAGCTACGATGGAGGGAAGTGGCAGTTCTTGTAGGCAACTACTGCCCTCTGATGGGAAGGGAGGTGCTCCACAGCCTCACCAGTAACTAGCAAATTCCATTGATGAGATACTGCTTGTTGTTTCCCTCTCATTCTTACCAGGAATTATTATACAAAATAAATACTCTTTTCAAGGTTCTGCTGCAGAATTTGCCTCATAATTTATGGCATCTCAATTATATCCCCTTTTAAAATTATTTAGTGAACTCTGTTTTTTCAAGTTGTTTTTTTTTAATTATTATTATTTGTTACTGGAGAAGTGATACAGTTACCTGTGCTATGGTTTAAATATGTTAATCCCAGCAAGAATCAAAATGGAGACAAAGAGGCTAAATATTGTTCACCAAAGTAGGTGTGAAGAACATGTAGAAGCTTGGGGGACATCACTGGGGAAAAAAAAAATAAAAGTCTCAGCATCCAAATTACTCACATGGGACATTTTTATCTTTATAAATTCCTGAAAGAAGATGGTAGCGGGGAGAGTAGAATTTAGTGCTTACCATTCGTAAAACCCTGTTTTCTACACATTTTCTCTCCAGCAGGCAGAGTGCTCTGAGCTGATCAATGTTACCTTTTCATGTAGAAAGTTTCAGCCAGAACTGTTTGGCTGATTCCAAAAGATGAAGAGGGAGGAAGATGTGTGAGTGATTTGCCCTTGGTAGAACCTTCTTGGCACCTGTTCTCTGAGGAGCTTTAGCACTTCTGTTTTTAGTTGCTCTCAGAATAACAGGGTTTTCTTCTGGCAGGGATGTGCTTTTTGCCATCCTCTTGGCAATCCACCCACGTTTGCCAAGCTCTGTGCCTTGCAGAGAAGAATGCAGAGATTGAGACCTGGCACAGCAGTTGCCTTACACTTCTCACATACTGCTGATGGTTTACCTCAAGGCTAGGAAGGACTTGTCTGTCATCACAGAAATACTGAAATTGAAGTTGTTGCAGCCTTCTAAGTTCAAAGTCCAAGGAGAAGACAGTACCTTACAAAACCTAATATTGATTAGTTAGAAGCGTGCCATACCACACTGAGCCAGCCAAGTCACCCTGCCCTGTGCCAGGGCTGCTCTGCTCCTGTTTGGGAAGGCAATTGTTATAATTGATTTAATTCTGTGAAGTGCTGAGCATCTGCTGCTCCCGCTTTGAAGGTAGCAGTTGTCTTCGCCACACTGTGATTTTGTTTAATTTTGTTCCCCACTGTTTCTGGTACATGTTGTATGGCCCAAGGCAGGTATCCAGTTACGGAATCAGGGCAACAGAAGAATTATCCAGCTCTCTGCTTGATCTGACTGAATATCCAAAATGCCACACAATTAGCCCACAAACTGGAGGCAGCAGGAGTGAGTCTTGAACTTCCCTACAGTGTGTTTATTAACTGATGCATTAATATAAGCAACATACAGCCCTTGTGAAGTGCAGCACTAAAAGGTTGCATTTGAACCTCTGCCTAAATCAGCATTGTCTGCAGGACAGTCTGACTGGGCGTCTCTCTTAGAATTTCAGTGGTTAATCTTTATCATAAGAAAGCCCAGCAAGATTTCTGCTTTAACAAGATATAGGGAAAAATAAATACTGTGCATGTGTACGAATAGCTGACAACACTTTGTAGTTCCTGCATTAAACAATGGAAAACTTTGTCAGCCTTTGAAATCACCTAGGGTTAAGTAGAAGTCCTTGTATACTGTGCTCTACATGCTACTGAAGCATAATAAATAAGGACAGAAAGATTGGAACCACATGCTGATGTCTCTTTCTTACAACTTGATAACAGCTCTGTCCTTGGTATGAAATGAATAGAGGCTGGCAAATGCGTTACAGTTTTATATTAGTATGAGGCACACTTCTGTTTCTGTAGACAGTGCATACTTGGAAAGTGGTGTAAGCCTGAAATTTTTCTTATGCCAAAGAAGAAGCTGCAGTCTGAACAGGATGAAGGGAAGAGCCTTTTGATTTGAATAGCTGAAATGAAGCAATCGTATGTAGTCACATGTTAAGCAGGAGTTTGGAGAGTAGAAAGACTAAAGCAGATGTTACAGTGTGTTGCACTATTGCCATCCCTGTCTGAAAGTCCAAGTTTGCTTCAATCTATGGATACTAAATTTCCCCCACACTTATAGCCAAAGCAGACAGTTTTGCTTTCTGCTAAAAGGCTGAATTTACATTTGTGGGAGAGGCAGTACGAGTAGACTGGGACAAAGACCACCGCTGTGAAGAAGACATAAGGCAAGAAGAGTTGGACAGAGGAGTCCAACAGTGGAAGATCCAGATGGGTAATGGTGGTGTTCTGATCTGGTAGAGAGCTGTGAAATTAGTGTGGGGTCTATTGGGTAGTGTATGTGATGGTAATTATCATAAGACTATTGGGAAGCCAGTCATTCTGATTTCATGGTAGAAGTGCAAGGATGGGGGTTTAAATATAAATTTAAAATGAACAAGGAGGACAAAGAGCTCAGCTATATTTTATAACTGCTTATTTAAAGAGTACTGTCACTCCTGAGACTGAGTGATTTGGGGATTCTGTGGAAAGGATGACATATAGGTACAAATTTATTAACATTTAATAGAATTTAAGCAGACTTCCTGTACCTGAAGGGGCATAAAAGAAAGCTGGAGAGGGACTTTTTACAAGGGCACATAGGGGTAGGACTAGGAGGAATGGCTTCAAACTGAAAGAAGGCAGATTTAGATTAGATATCAGGCAGTTCTTCACTGTGAGGGTAGTGAGGCCCTGGTCAGGTTGCCCACGGAAGCTGTGGCTGCGAGCAGTGTGCAAAGCCAGGTTGGACAGGGCTTTGAGCAACCTGGTCTCGTGGAAGGTTGGGACTAGAGGGGTGTTGGAACTAGGTGGAACTAGATCTTTAAGGTCCCCTACAACCCAAACCATTCTATGATTCTAGCTATGAACTTACATAATCTAAATACACACACATACATATGCATACATACATATCACATACATGTGTGTGTGTGTATATACATATATATATATATACACACACTCCAAACACCCCCAAGTCCTTCTCAGGGCTGCTCTGAATCTCTTCTCTGCCCAACCTGTAGCTGTGTCTGGGATTGCCCCGACCCAGTTTGGACCTTGCACTTGGCTTGGTTGAACTGCATTAGGTTGGCATTGGCCCACCTCTCAAGCATGTCAAGGTTCCTCTGGATGGCATTCCTTCCCTCCAGCTTGTCAAACCACATAACCAGTTAGATGACATCAACTGCTTTGCCCCTGTCCATCAGTTCTGTAGCCCCATCATAGAAGGTCACCAAATTGGTCAGGCAGGATTTCCCCTTAAGTGAAACCATGTTGGCTGTCACCAAGCACCTTGTTGTTTTGCATGTGCCTTAGCGTGCCTTTCAGGAGAATCTGCTCCAAGATTTTGCCAGTCACAGAGATGAGACTGACTGGTCTGTAATTTCCCAGGTCATGCATTTTCCCCTTCTTGAAAGTGGGGGTTATATTTCCCTTTTTCCAGTCATCATGAACTTCACCTGTGCCATGACTTTTCAAATATGATGGACAGTGGCTTAGCAAATTCATTTGCCAGCTCCTTCAGGACCCGCGGATGGATTTCATCAGGTCCCATGGACTTGTGTACATTCAGGTTCTTAAGAAGGTCTCGGACCAGCTCCTCTCCTACAGTGGGCCCAAGGTCTTCATTCTCACAGTCCCTGCATCTGCCTTCCAAGGCTTGGGTGGTGCGGTCAGAGCCTTTGCCAGTGAAGACCAAGGTAAAGAAGTCATTCAGAACCTCAGCCTTCTCCAAATCCTGTGTAGCCAGTTCTCCCGAGAGCTTCCTGAGTGGGCCTACGTTCTCCCTAGTCTGTATTTTGCTTGCTAAATAGCTATAGAATCCCTTCCTGTTATCTTTCACATCCCTTGCCAAATTTTATTCTAACTGGGCCTTAGCATTTCTAACCTGGTCCCTAGCTTCCCGGACAATTTCCCTGTATTCTTCCCAGGCCGCCTGTCTTTGCTTCCACTTTCTGTAAGACTCTTTTTTCATTTGAATTTTCTTCAGGAGCACCTTATCCATCCAAGGAGGTTTCCTGGCCCTCCTGCTGCACTTCCTTCTAGTTGGGATGCAACACTCCTGAGCTTGTAGCAGGTGATCCTTGAAGACCAACCAAGAGTCTTGGGCCCCCCTGCCCTCTAGGGCTATATCCCATGGAACCTTACTAAGCAGGTTCCTGAAGAGGCCAAAGTCTGCTCTTTTGAAGTCTAGGGCAGTGAGCTTGCTGCACGCTCTTCTTACTGTCCTGAGGATCTCAAATTCCACCATCTCGTGATCGCTGCATCCAGGGCTGCCCTGGAGCATCACATTTCCAACCAGCCCTTCCCTGTTGGTCAAGCACAAGGTCAAGCATGGCACCTCTCCTTGTCGGCTTCTCTATTACTTGCAAGAGGAAATTGTCTTCCACACAATCGAGGAACCTTGCTCCCTGGGTCGGATTTTACCGGCTCAGGGCAGGGCCGTCCCTCCTGGCACCACCCCCTGTGAGTCCCTGCTCGGCTCCCTGGAGCTGCCGGCTCCTGGGCAAGGCCTGGCGAGGGCTGCAGACTCCTTCGGTGGCTCTCGCCGCTCAGAACTGAGGCTCCAGGACGCTGGTTTTCCCCTCGATCCGAGGTTGAAGGCTCCTCTATGGAGCTGCTCACCTCAGCAAATACAGCAGCATTTTGGTATGATGTAGCTCATGGACAATCACTGATGGCTTATTTTCACTTCTGTCAACACTGGTACAGATGTAAATCAAATCTATGGGTCGGCTCTTCCTTACGTGACCTAGATGCAGGTACTGAGCTCCTTAAGCTCCCTGCTGTTTTGCTACATTTAATTTGTCTTGGACTTCTCTATTCATTCTCTTTGCCAGGCGTTCATTCCAGCAGTAAATTATACCAATATGGCTTATGTTCCCTGTTAAAAAATCTTCAGAAAAGTGTAAATGGGAGCATAAGTTTTACATTTCAGAATTGAGGGAGATCATCAGGGATGGCCCCATAGTCTTGCATTACGTTGAATTATTTCTGTTGTCCTCAGTCAGTTACAGAAACACAGATACTGGCTTGTGTGAATCCAGATCCTTTCTCGCTCCTGTCTTATGGATTTTCAGTATTCTCGGCTGCGCGTTTCTATGCAGAAATCTGTTGCTTGTGTAAAATGGGTCACATTTTATGATGCAAGTAGCAGAGTTGTGCAGGCTTAACCCTTGAAGCAGCTGTGGCTCTTAAGCACAGTGACGTGTGACAAAGCATCCATGAAAAAAACGAGCAGTGCCCTGTGTTTTCAGACCTCTGAGGTAGAATTTATACAGAAAAAAATCAGGAATTCTACTAAAAAATTAATGTTTTGCATTTTCAGCTTGTCCAGATGGATTCTTTGGGCTTGACTGCCACCAGGTGTGCAAGTGCAAGAATGCTGCTGGCTGTGACCATGTCCTGGGAGCATGCCGCTGCCTCCCTGGCTGGCTGGGAGAGACCTGCGAGCAGCGTACGTATAGGCTGCACTCACTATCCTCATTCACAAACTCTTGCAGTGCTAACGGGTTCCTTCTGGGAATGTAGGATGACCTACCAGTGTACAGTTTTAGATAGGTCACATTCCTTTCCAAAGATGCCCAAAAGGGGAATAATTCTTGGTAGCTCTGTAAATAATCAACTTTTTTTTTTAACTGCTGTTGTCAGTTAAACATTATAAGCATCAAACATTATAAGCATCAGTTTTTAAATAGCAGAGCTGTCTTCTACCATATGACGAATCTCTGCTTTTTATTTTTGTGCAACATTAAGAGATGAAATGTATCACTGTTTCTGGTCTATCTCATCTAATTATCCATTTATTGTTACAGGTTAGAAATGCACAATGTGGAAAAATCAGAGCTGGGACTACTTGTTTGAGCATGACAAAAAAGCTTTTTAACTAATTCTTAGAAAAGTTGTTTGTTTCTAAAAAAGACACCTAGATTTTCACAAGTATAGATTATCCTACAATCTTTAAGCTAATAAGGGGTTTTTGTATGTTTGTGTGTATGCATATATAAGATTGGCTCTTCTGAGATACTGTTCATGAAATTTCATGGCAAATTAAATTCCTTTCTTTAGCGACATGTCATTACATATGGGTATCACTGAGCCTGTTTGCAATATTTAGCAATTATGGGGGGGAGGGGGGGGGGTTAAGATTTTCAGGTTTTAGCCTCTCAACTTTCTCATTTCACTTTAAGATGATGTCATCATCTGTACTACCTTTTGAAACTGTGACTGCTGTCTGCAGGACTATGTTGTAGGGCCTGGGGTCCAAAGCAGCTCCACAAGGAGCCAACTTTCATTGTTAGTGAGCACTTTCACAGGACTTCTTTAATCCATAGGTTGCAGATTTCTGCAGTAGGAAAGTGGTTTAATTTAATAAACAGAGAGAAATGGAGAAATGCTACTTGTATTGAAACAATTCCATTCTCCAGCCATACACCGTGTTACAATCTATCAGCCCTGTCTGAGGGTTACGCTTGCTCTTAGTAATATTTTTCCCTCATTTTCCCCCATCACATAACATAACCTGTCTTCTGAAAGGCTCCTCCAAAATCCCTTGCTTTTTTTGTTTACAGGAGGGTCAATGGTGATGAATCTTTCCACTTGTTAGACATTTCTGCAAAAAATCCTGCCATTGCAGTCCTTTTTACCTCCTCGTGGCCCCCCAGGAAAGCTTGCATCTCTATCTCTCACCACCTGACGATTGTGGTGGCAATACTCTCCTGTGGGTGTAGTTTGGTGAGCTGACCATGAAATAAATGCAGAGGCAGAGCCATTATAGCCATACTGTAAAGCAGTAAAGGGAATGCTGAACAGGTACAATGTTTGCTTCTCAGTCACAGCCCATTTTTACTGCAAAGTCAGGGCATTAGCAATATATCACCTTGCCCTTCTCTGCTCCTTAGACTGCATTAGGGATGAGAAGCTTTGTTTCATATTTCATTAAATTCAATTAAGAAATGTAGCTCTTTGTCAACAGCTTTCTGTGCCCCCCTCTACTCGTGAGAATTGAAAAAAAATAATTATTCCCTTGTGCTGGAGCCATTAGAGCTTTATGCTGACTTGATTTATTCTTCACACTGGTGAAGGTGCCAAAGCCTCTGAGGCCTCCTTTGCCTGTAAGTAAAAAAGCAAGATCACTTAATTATGCAGAGGGTAACCTTTTTTTCTCATGGCTAAATGATGAATCTGCATTTTGATTTTAAGACTGGACCTCAGCCACACCACTCCAGAGCTGCTCAGAATAAAGCAACCATGGGTCTGAGATGCCAGCCCACCATTCTCCACCTTTGTTTGGTGTTTAATATTTACCTTGCCAGTTCCTAGGACTTGCTAGCTCTAGCAGCTGGAAGGACAGCATTTGTGTTCAAATAATCAGATTTCAGGCAATGTGCTGGAGGATATTGAGAAATAATTTTGACATCATGAGGTTTGAATTGATCTTAAACCAGCCATGCAGTGCATTTTATACACTGTTATCTAATTATGGGCTATATGGACAGTAATGCTTTTTGTTGAAGCTGCCTAACACTTTCCATTACAAGACCATGTTTTTCAATCGCTTATAAATAAATTCTATTAATCTGGGATGAAATCTGCCAAGCAAGCTCTGCCTTGGCTTAAGTTTGTATTTGGTGATTTTTTTTATTTTGGGGAGGGGGCTGGTGGGAGGGTTGAGTATCTGCCTAAGATATTTCAGGTTTCCGGGAAACAAGTTTAGGAAAAGTATGTCGCTTATTTGTTGGTGGGGTTTTAACAGTTTCGCAAAGTTTTGTAATGCCTTAGTGCTACAGAAGTGAGGATTTGACATCTGGCATCTCTTTGTGTCAGAGATGTAACCACCTTCCTTTCTGTATACAAACCTGTCCAAATTTTGCTGTCTCAAAAAAAAAAAAAACCCAACCAAAAAAAAACCCACCTAAAAAAAAAAAAATCTCATGTTGCATATGATTTGTAGAAGCTGAACACAGTTCTACATCTGCATTTTGCTCTGATTCTATTAGTAGTAAAAATGTCTCATTCTGGAGCTGTTGGGGCTCAGCAGGATCTTCACAGAAGCAGTTCCCTGTGGTAAAAAAGAAGAGACCAAACTGGTCTTCAAAATGTATGAATATGAAAAGATTGGCTGTGCCAGAGTCTCTGCTCGTGGGAACTGATAACCAGGGGTTTGACATTTCACAGTGCGTAAGCACCTGACTTTGCAAATTCCCTGTTCTTTTAAAGCTGAAGCTTCATTTTGGGGAGAATAATGCACAGGAGCTGCATGAAATCAAAGCTTCTGGACACCCTGTAGTGTCTTAGTGCCCCTTATTTCCCTGTTCTCCCCGACATTTTTGATGTTGACTTCCAGTCTGGAAGAAAATCTCCAATTTTATGTGTTTGTTACTCTGCATACAAAAAGGGATATAAAAGACTGCAAATGAATAAATCCTCCTCTTACAGAGAAAAGGCACTGAGAGGAAAATTTTGAAGTGGGAAGAAGTCTAATAATTTAAACCTTTCTATCTCTTTTTTCCTTTGCATTTATTATGACGAAAGGAGAAAAGGCCCAGGGATATTTGTACATTCAGTTGTGGAGCTCCATAAAATAGCTTCAATATATCACTTGTCATCTTAATCTTTAGAAAAGCACTTTGATAATCAGGACTGTCCCACCAAGAGGCTAAAAACAGTTTATATCCACCCAAAAGAATATTTAAAATCTTCTTCTCCAGAAATTTCTGCTTTCTTACCAGAACTTTCACTGGAACACTCCTGTGTCTTCTCAGTAAGAATAACAACAGCTTTGCATGCATACTCCAAATCCCTCACACAAACCACTAGTAACCAGTCAAGGGACCTCGTTATGAGCTGGTTTTTCCTTTGGCTTGATTATGATATAGTTCTGGTCTGTATTGTGGAAATATTTAGTTCTGCTCCCAAAACCGAGCCAGAGCTGAGTAGGAAGGGCTGAACTTTTAACTTGGCAACTAAGCCTCATTTGCAGAACACTTTTAACTGTGATGGGATTGAGCTCCTGCGCTTTCTTGTGGTTTCAGTGTGGATGGAATCCAACCAATGGCAAAAATGAACACTCGTGAAGAGAAGTACTGGGAGAAAAGGTGTCTGTGAGAATTGTATTGGAAAACTGGAAGTCCTCAGATGGGAAGAATAGGGCTGAGAATGGGTCAGATACATCAACCAAGTTCACACCTGAGGTCAAAATGGTTTCACGCCTCACTTCAGTCCCCAGGGATGTGTCCTCCAACAGCCCTACATCTTATTCTGCACTCTGACACCCTCAAAGGCATAGAGATTTCAGTAAAAAGTCATCGTATGCATCTGATCCTAGGAGATGTCACATTCAGTGAGTGCCGAACACTTTTGGATCAGGGATCAGGTCTTTTTTTTGCCTCTTCAATGCATGCCAGCAGTACCGCAGACACAAGAGGCTCTGACATCTTCGTGCCAGTGAAGGAGAGACTCTGTAAAGCAGGCACAAAAACCATGCAAGGAGGCTATCCAACTTCATCAACTCATTTTGTATTTTTTGGGTGATAGCTGAAGAAAACAGGGTAGCAGTAGTTTTTCATCATTTAAAGCTATCCAAATCTCTAGTGCAGTAGAGACTAGAGGACTTTTATCACTGCCTTTTGACATAGGCAGGAGCACTGAAAACAGGGCTGCAGCAGGAGTACGTTTGCGAGATGGCTAAGTTTTCACCTGGGAGCCAGCTGCTTAACAGAACATGTTGAAAATATCAGCCCTCTTTGACCAAAGAATGAGACTCTGGGTGAGCAAAGGCATTCAGCTGTGAAAAATGAACACTGAAAACAATGAAGTTGTCAGTTCTCCTACCAGGATGCAAATAAATGCCTGGGCTGTCAAGCTGGCGGTTCTGCTGGACCATTAGTTTAGTACAAAGGCATTCTGCAGGGCAGGGAATGACAGCTGATCCATCACCTGAGCAATCCTGCCCTTTGAGAAATACCTCTTCAGAACATGTATGATATGTATTTTTAAGCCACGTTATTTAGTGTCAGGCATGGTTTGTATATGGGCTTACGCACCCTTATGGTGTGAAAAGTGTGTCATTGGAAGCCAGTTTCAAACTGATTTCCCTGTTGCTGGGTTGTGTCTCAGGTTTGCTCTGCATTGCCTCCTTTGGTGCTTCCTGATGGGGTTTTACAGAATTCTCTCGTTGCAGCCTGCCAGGGGGACAGCTATGGGCCAGGCTGCAGGCACACATGTCAGTGTCACAACGGAGCGTTCTGTCATCATGTAACTGGGATGTGCCTTTGTAGCCCAGGGTGGAAAGGGGCCACCTGCCAAGAAGGTACAATTGGAAATTCAACCCCCTGGCAGAGAACTACCGGAGGGAAAAATTACACTTCTGCTCAGGGGAGCTTCACTGGTATTTTAATTATCAACTAATTGTTCTGTGTTGTCATTGGTTTTGTATCTGCACAATTACACGGATTGGTCCATTAAATACATCTGTGACACCATGCTGCAGGGGCTAGGTGCAGGAACTTGGTATGCTGGGCAAGCTCTGAAACAGTCATAAACTGGAAAGAGAGCTGATTCTGAATGCTGATTAAGGGAGAAAAGGTCCATAAAACTCCCAATTATGACACTGAAATGAACCTCTGTTTTTTTTCTATGGCCTGCTTTACTGTCCCATGCACCTGACTGATCCTCCTTGTTACCGTATACTGTTCCAGACATAACCTAAATCCAGAACATGTGTAAGGCATTGGGACTTCCAGTCTTGGCAATTAGACCAATACGTGCGACTCAAATACAAGCCCAAATCCGGGAACCTTAAGAAAAGAGGCTGGCAAAGAAAGGCTGCCCTGAGGCTTACATCCTAGTCCCTACATACAAGCAGCTGGAAAACTTCAATCCATCCCTGATGCAGAAGGCTCTTTTTTTCTGTGCCTCCCCTGGGAGGTACCTGGCTCTGTAAGCTGTGCCACAGAGCCAGGGATGCTGCTGTGGATGGTCCTATGTATGCTGCAGTCTGGAGTCAGCACTAAAATTTTCTGGTTTACATGAAGGCCCCAAATACAAAACCAAAGCAAAAGTTAAAAAAACTGTTCTCAAATATGAAGACATTGTCAAACATAACCTTTTTCTTTAATGATACATTGGGAATTTCTTTTCTCTTTGAAAGTAAGGTAGTAGGTGTGTGTGTGAGGCTGGGTGAGCTGTCCTCTGGTAACTGTGCTTTTGCAGAGTGAGAACTTGCTCCTCTTTAACATCTTAAAAATGTTATTCTAGGACATGACAGAGGTGTGTATTTTTTGTGCCAAAAAAGGAGGTTCTGTCCATAGGAATTGGTTGTGATGGGAATTAATAAACTTGCTTAATTAAAATTAAGTAAAATGTGCAATGTCATCAGCCAGCTGTGGGTAGCAGGATCAATTAGAAAAGGAGTTGTGATTTTAAGAGGAGTACAAAGAAACTCTGAAAACAGGAAATCAGTAACTCCATTCCTTGGTGCTGAGAAAACTAGTAGGAACCAAGAGATGTTTTTCACAGGTGTGCACAGAAAATCTTGAGGCCTTTTGCTGGATCACAGCTAATTCACTTAATCACTTATTTTGTTCGCAGACCAGTTTTACATTGTTCTATGTAATTCCTTATCAGTCATGGCTTCATTTTTACTCAACTGTACCTCCCACAGTGTCTGCGTGATCACCAGGGCAAGAAGTGTTGTAAGCTGGGAAAGGTTGCGTTTAACCTGTGTCCTTCTTCTACCTTCTTAATGGAAGGCTTTTGTCCTACCTCCTCTTCACAGCCTGTCCCACTGGATGGTATGGTGCAAACTGTCTCCAGCGCTGCATCTGCCACAGCCAGGCGACATGTGACCATGTAACGGGCGAGTGCCAGTGTCCTCCGGGTTGGAAGGGGAAAGGATGTGAGCTGGGTGAGTCTCTTCATGTCCCCCATCCTTCCAGCGCCTTGTTTCTGTTGCTGTGTAGGTAAATTCAGTTCTGATGACAGTTGGAGACAGCTCATAAAAAGGAGAGGATGGGTAGAGGGCTGGAGAGCGCAGAGTGTGGAAAGGCTGAAAAAATTGGGGTTGTTTAGTCAGAGATGAGAAGACTGAGGGGAGATATGGCATTGGCACTTGAATATACAATGGTGCTAGAAACTTGCTGGACGGAGGAGAGGAGTAAGATATTCTCTGTCCCTTTGGGACAGGGAAGATAGGTAATGAGCTCAATTTGAGGAGTGAAAAATAATGTAAATCCTCCAAGAGGAAAACAACTTATCTCTAGAGAATTTTGTTAAGGGAGGTTTCAAAATCTCCTTTACTGAAGTTTTTTTTAGGACCAGCCTATTTCAGAGGCATAAGTATGTTTGTTCTGGAGCCCTTCCAGCTTGGCCCCCCCATCAGTGTCCCCTGTTTCATTGCAGAGTGTGGGGACAGGAGGTATGGAGAGGGATGCGAGCAGAACTGTACCTGCCACCATGGGGTTTGTGAACAGCACTCAGGAAAATGCATTTGCCATGCTGGCTGGAGTGGGGACCGCTGTGATGTTGGTAAGGGCAGTTCCTTCTGCAGATGCTTTGCTTGGACACTCTCTTCTGCAATCAGCCATTTCTCCCTCCACGATATGAAGTCCTTTTCTATATTGTATCTTAATTTTCCAGTGTAGGCCAATAAGCGATAATGCTGGTGTGAGCACTCACCGAGTATCTTAGAAGCACCACAGGCAGGTCTCTGCCCATCCATGTGTACATGCCCTTGTCCAAATCATTTTGTGTCATAGAATCATAGAATAGTTAGGGTTGGAAAGGACCTTAAGATCATCAAGTTCCAGCCCCACTGCCACGGACAGGGACACCTCACACTAAACCATCTCACCCAAGGCTTCGTCCAACCTGGCCTTAAACACTGCCACAGATGGAGCATTCACAACCTCCCTGGGCAACCTATTCCAGTGCCTCACCACCCTAACAGGAAAGAATTTCCTCCTTATATCCAATCTAAACTTCCCCTGTTTAAGTTTTAACCCATTACCCCTTGTCCTACCACTACAGTCCCTAATGAAGAGTCCCTCCCTAGTGTCCCTATAGGCCCCCTTCAGATACTGGAAGGCTGCTGTGAGGTCTCCATGCAGCCTTCTCTTCTCCAGGCTGAACAGCCCCAACTTTCTCAGCCTATCTTCATATGGGAGGTGCTTCAGTCCCCTGATCATCCTTGTGGCCCTCCTCTGGGCTTGTTCCTACAGTTCCATGTCCTCTTTATGTTGAGGACACCAGAACTGCACACAGTACTCCAAGTGAGGTCTCATGAGAGTAGAGTAGAGGGGCAGGATCACTTCCTTCAACCTGCTGGTCACACTCCTTTTGATGCAGCCCAGGATACGGTTGGCTTTCTGGGCCTTCTGTTCCCTGCCTGCTGAGAAAATGAAGGTATTTCTCTACCTTATGGGCACAACGAAGAGCATATAAAAGGGAGTGAGTTGTAAGGAGAGTTTGCCAGATCGGCTACATGCTGCTGTACCTCTGTGGGCCACTGAGGGGGAGCTCAGCAAATTGGACTGTGACAGTTCAGTTTGTACCAATCTTGCATGTGGTCCAGATTGCCCAGATTTGACATAGCTGTCTGGTGTGTTTAGAGCCACGTAAATCCCTGAAATAGAAATCTTGTAAGCAGTAGATGTCGGATGACTTGAAATGGGCTTTCAGCTTTGCCACTGACATGCTGTGATTTTTTGCAAGCCACAAGCAATTTTCTGATGTCTCCTGCAGTGCTGAGGACTCACAGAACCTAAAACACCAGCATGGCCTGTAAAGCCTTTGCAGTGCCCATCTTCCTTTTCTTTAGGCCTTGCTTTCTCTTTGATCACTTTCCAGAGACCTGTGAGGTGGAAAGCAGTATGTGGACACAGCATATTTTCACCATTCAAACATCTGTTCCGTTGTGGATAACCATGTAAATGTGAATGGCATTGTCATCTGTAGAGACACCATCTGGATTTGTACTCTTGATTAGGACTAAGTTTTCACAAGTTTTCACATGCAGACTCATTAATAGGCAATACTAAATGTTTTTATTATTTTTAATATATTTTCAACTATGTTTTCTGGGCATGCAGTCTTCTAAATATACATCACCATGTGCAAGAAGAACATTACTGGCTTATTTGCCAGTGACAGATGCTTTCCATGCAGCGGGAAGAACTATTGCTTTCTCTGCTTCTCCTCACAGTTTGCCCTGTGGGATTTTTTGGCAAATGGTGTGAGGAGCAATGTGACTGCATACACGGCTTGTCCTGCCACCATCAAACTGGAGCATGTCTCTGTGAAAAGGGATGGAGAGGGAGGCACTGTGACAGACGTGAGTGTCTGCTGGGCGTTTACGGAAGGAAGTTCAGGTCGGCATGTACCTTACTCCCAGATCCAGAGCTGATGACAGGATCCTTTCATCCCTGCATTGCTCTGTGGGGTTGGTTTGGGAGTGCTCATGGGAATGAGCGCAGCAGATCCCTCAGAGGGAGTAACTTTGCAATGTCCTGTTGCTGTTGCAGCTTGCTTGCCTGGTCGCTATGGTATAGGCTGTGCCCAGAGGTGCCGGTGTCCCATAGGTACACCCTGCCATCACCTGACGGGTGAGTGTGGATGTCCTCCAGGATTCACTGGCTACAGCTGTGAGAAAAGTAAGTTTGTTATCAGATACAAATACTTCCCTTGTAAATTAATTAAGAAACTAATTTCTTAAATAAAATCCTGATGATACAATGCCTGAAGAGGGAGGAAACACCAACCTCACAGCAGTTAAGATGGATAAGCACTGCTTGTCACTCACCCAAATGATTTGGCCATTTCTGACCCCTGTGCCTGGCACAGTTTGGGCTGCCATGTTTGCGCTCTCTAGATTTGCAGCTCACAGGCTGGCAGGGAGAAGCAGGGGGCTAAACTGTATTAAAATAGGCTAAGGAGATGATTGCAGAGCCCAGCCTGCAGCCATACTGTGCCATGGGTAAAGCACCAGCTCTGCTTTCTGTTGGCCTTGTCCCTGTGAGAGACCATCTATTCCTGCTGTCAGAGCTTATGGAAATGTCATTATCTGTTTTTAATTCAGTGTTGAGTTTGGCTGTCTGGAGCTGGCTTTGAAAATAGGCTCGTTCTGTGACCCCAGCTGCATAATTTTGACTTTGTTCTTCCTTACAATGTTTTGCCTAGCACTGCTTTAGCAAAAAAAAAAAAAAAAAAAAACAGCAAAAAAGAATTAAAAGAATTGACGTTGGTGTCCCATATCATCCACTAAAGGACTGTTAAATCCTGACCCACAACCAGGGCAACTTAATGAAAGTGAAACACAAGAATTAGCTGTGGAATATCCAAAACCTCTAGGCAGTAAGACTGTCAACAGTACAAAAGAAACCTGTAAAGATGCTGGTGCTACAGCAGCTTTGTAAGTTTAAACTCCCTGCAAAAGGTAGAATGTCTTTATCCACATGCCTGATCCCTTGTGAATTATGCTGTTTTAGTCAATTTTACCTGACATTTCCCTATGATTTTTTCTAGTGACAAGAAAATTGTATCTGGCCCTTGACAGTTGGGCACAAATTGACTGAACGAAACAAAGTCAAGCAGTGAAGTAACCCCCAAGTAAATGTAATAAATCCAAAGTCCCAGAGGAGAGCATCATTTTGTAGGCAGGGCTTTTATTTAATAAATTTGAGCTTGAGCTTTGTTTGTGTTCTATATTTACTAAGACAAATTTAATTTATTGGTTTACATTTCCTCTTCCCCAAGCTTGTCCACCAGGCACATATGGCAAGAACTGTAACCAAGTATGTCAGTGCTCTGCTGAGAATGAGGAATGTCACCCAGTGACTGGCAACTGCCTGTGCCGCCTGGGGTACTACGGGGCACGCTGCAACATCCGTGAGTATCTTTGTGGGCTGCACACTTTGTGAGCAAGGATCAAGTTATGCAGAAGCATGTGCTAGCATTCTGAGTTCATCTGTGTCAATACCTTCAGTGTTGACTCAGATAAATATAGGTTAGTTATAAGAAGTAAGTTATACTATAAGAAGTAAGTACAGACTGGGATAAATTTACAGTGATAAAAATGCCTGTATTAATTGCAAGGGATTAATGGGGGAAAGAAAAAGTAAAAAAGACTCATTTGCTAGCTAATTTCTTTCCAATTTCAGGCCGTGCTGAAGAATATCAATATCATTCTCGCATTTACACCTGAATACTGTACAGCTCTTTCATTTCCAAATACCTAGGCCAAAATACTTCCCAAAAATCTCTGCATGCTCAAGTAAGGACAAATGGTTATTAGAAAACAACAAGCTGCAACTGGCAATAAATCTAAGTGATTCATAAAGTCAGTTAAGTTGTAGGGCCTTCTGAGGAACAATCAAATTAAACAAATTGTTACTCAGGATTGAAAAATGGTGACTAGTGTAGAGGACAAATGCCAATTGGCCGAACACTCCATCATAAAAAATATTACCAGATCCACATGCTGCATGCTGGTATTTTAGGACATCTGTAAAGTTGTTTCTGGTGGAATGTGGCAACTGATAAGAAACATGTACCAAAGTATCCAATGAAAGAGACAGTTTATTACCTTTTTATTTACAACTTTAATTTTGTTTTTGCTTCATGGCTTGTAAGTCTCATTTAAAAAAAAAGAAAAAAAGCTGTGGTCTTTCAAGCTCAGTCTTCCTGTCTTTGGCAAACACTCATTTTCTTTTCTTGGGAATCCAGCATGGCTATGTTTGGTTTGCTTGCTTTTTGGGGTGATATTTTGGATACAAAGGCCAGCTGCAATATATATGGTTCTAGTAAGGGTTAAACCTATGCTTTATTCCTTCAGTAGAAATAGGAAAGGGGCTTATTTTAGAGATGGGCATTTATATTATCATCATGTCAACACAAATTATTCTTTAAAATATAAATGTAAATGTAAGGATTGATTCTATCCTCCTTTGTGCATCAGTTCTCACTGTGAGATCAAAATCAATCCTTCAACACCTAGGCTAGAGCCATCTGGATCATTATACATTAGATTATAATAAATGTTATAGTAGAGTGGTAGTAGAGATCAACTTTTTAGCAGTATCATTTTAAAAGACTTAGTCATGGTTAGCCTATTACGTTTATGTAGCAGTCTTTCAGTAGTCATTACCTGTGCATATAGTACTAAATCTCCATAGATTACAGTAAGTTATTAAGCTTGCTTAGATCCTTAAGATTTTATTTCAGAATTTTGAAATTTAAAGCATTATTACACTGAAGTCCTGATATAAAAAGAAATTACTTGCAAAATGAAGTCTGTAGTTCACTGCATTCAGAGGGGATTTTGGCACAGAATTCTCTGTAGCTAGGATTAAACCTACAACATATGAGACATGAGCCTTCGTGGCACTGTGTTCTCTTTGATTCCAAAAATACGTAATATTTTGTGCAGCAAATTCTTAATAAATACGGTTTTATTAAATGTTTGCTGGAGAGGTAATGGAATGGTAGAGGTTCAGAGAGGGTGCATCTATGTGAGCTTTTTTTTACCTATTCTCCCCTGTGCCACTCAGACTATTGCATAGACATAAAAGTTGATGGAAAACATATTAAGAGTGAGTTATTTTTAGGTTTAGGTTAGTGGAGTGAGAGATTGTGGACCTGATTCTAAAGTGACTGTCTGATAACCAAGGATAGCTAGCATTACTTTGGTGGGAATATTGCATGTTCCCACTATCCTCACTACAGGGAGAAACAGGGCTGCTCCAGGATGAAGAAGCATTCGATATAATATTAAGAACAGCATAGGGAGCCGCTCCCAAAGACGTGAAATGGGCTTCAGTCCAGTCAACATGTGGCTGGATGCTGCTGGAAACGCTTTCTGGCAACTATTGCTATATTTATAGTACTGTGAAAAAGGGTTCAAGAAAGTATCTATAAAAGGTGTAGTTGGCTGGGAAGTCGAGTTTCCAGGAGCCAAGAGCAACGAGGCTTTCATGTTCTCAAATTTTGGAGTGAAGAGCTGAAACAGTCTCTTGGCAGGATCCAGAGGAAGTAGACAAACTAGCAATAAGGTTCCCATCAGTTGTCCATAACTCAGTGGACAGGCAGATCTACTTGAGTGAAGTTATGAATAAAAAGCAGTAAGTGGTGGTGTAATGGATTAAAAAAAAAAAGACATGCTATGTCTCTGTGGCATTTACTGGGCTGGGTGAACTCTGAGCCAGAAAGACCTCACCAGCTTCACCTTCAAGCATAGGTAACAGGATGCTTCAGAAGTGATTTTTTTGACAATGCAATTAATAACTGCTAAGAAAAGCCCCAGTGTATGCAGTTGGTATGCAAAGATTTAGGAGCTCTTGGTCATGGCAAAGCCGACAAAATCAGAAGGAAAAAAATCAGGAAATGAGTTGTAAAATCTGGCTGCCACTCCTGCCGTTCTCAGAAAAACAGAAGTCAGATGCACAGGAAACTGTTAAATTAGAAAATGTCTTTATGAGATAACTGGTGGTTAGAGGCTAGCCCGCTTTATGAAGGCAGAACCTACTTACATGGCAGGACACTCTGTAAATTACCCTAGCTACCTGCATAGAAGATCTACTACAAAATAGTAACAGATGAGATGGCCTTATTAATAATCATGTGAACATAGCAGCTGATGTGTTTGCCCTGCTTGTGCTGCTCCCTGTTGAACCAAAATAAATAAAATGCTGCAAGGGTAAATAAATTTGTAAGGGGGGTTGTTACTGCATCCCTTTCAGTAATGGAGCAGCTCTTGCTAGTGTTGAGCTGAGGGACAATTCTGAGGGCTTTGCCAGGGAGAAGCAATGGGCTTGGGACTGTGGGAAACAGAAATAAAAAAAGAGAAAAGCCAAATGATGACTGAAAGGAAAGGGAGGAGAAGAGGAGAAAGTCACTGAGAGTCCAATTGAATTATTGAATCTGGGTGTGTCCTTAACTTTGTGTCTTGGTGTAAATGAAATAGATGTTGCAGGGCTCTCTCCTGGATGCCAGGGTTTGCACATGAAACGGATTTTATATACAGACAGATGAAGCACTGATGACAAAGTATTCAGAGAAGCCATGTTTGAGAAGGGCTGGGGCAAATATCTGCATGGTATAAAAGTGTGTATGTGTTTAGTTCTTATGATCTGCTGTCCTGATTTGAGGAGAAGCCAATTTTCAGTTTTATTTTAAAAGACATCCCTTTAAAGCTTCATCATAAGCTCTCCCTCTCTATTGAATAGTTCAAAATATCCAGAGATTTCACTAGCTGCTCAGAGCATGCTTTCATGTCTTCAGGAAAGAGAAAAAAAAAATATATATATGAAGTTACTTACGCACAGATTGAGAGAGATCTGTTGCTTGGAGATGTGTGCAAATATATATTCAACCAGATTTCCAAATTAACCATACTCTTGCCTTTTTCCAAGGGAAGAGAAGGAAAGAGCAAAGAAATAGCATGTGAATGTAGTAGCACTAGCGTAACAGTTCAATTATGGTGACGTGGCTCTAAAAGCACCGGTTTCTCCCTATTCCAATGCAGTAAAAATATTTAATAACCCGCATCTCCAGAGTTCAGTGATGGCACACTGGAGGCAAACCTGACAGACACAGGCATGTGCTTAGCAGTTCTGCCCACCTCTCCCTCTGTTCCATGCTCCATTCTTCCAAGGAGTATCTTGAGGACATGAGCTAAGCATGGCAGATGCATTAATGTCTCCCTGGTCTTGTATTCAGTGTTCCTTCAACATTAGCTGTCCAAAACCAAACCAGAAATACTTGCTACCACCTCAAAAACCTCTTCATGGACATCTTGTTGTCATGTAACCCTGGTTTAGCAATCCATCCATGTTTCTTCCGGTTAATATGAAATACATCTGCTTTGTGATTTTAGTCAGAGAATTTTTTGGCTTTGCATTTAAACCATCTCTCTCCTGTATCTATCTTCTGAGAAGGTGTATTCTGAAATTTCATGTTATTGTCATGTGTACAGTTTCATCATCCTCCATGCACAGCACTAGATGTGCCAGAGCAATGCCAACTTCAGTTTGGAGAGAAAGAGTAGATTATAGAGAAAAGAAACTTTCTCCAACTTAAACATCTTTAAAAGGTGAGACCTGCCCCAGTATCCATAACTGGTCAGCTAAAATAACTGCTAAAATAGGCAGAGATGGACAAAGGCTTTTCACCACCTCAGGCAAAGTAGACTGTCACTGCTCAAAGGAAGAGGGACCAGGGCCCCATCTCTCCATCTCCGCCATAGGAGGGAAAGGGCGAATAGGTTGATTTGGAACAGAAATCAAAGAGGAAAACTTCTGAATAAGTGGGCTTGCATTTCTTGCTGCTGTCACATCTGAAGAATGGGAAGAGCAGACAGAGCCAGGAGTAGTCAGACTGGGATCTGTGGCATCAGTTGTTCCAGCTCTTCAGGGGTTTGCCATTGCAAGTCAGTGCTGCCTTGCTGCCCAATGGACTGTATTGGCTGAGGCAGCCATCTGCTCATCAGTGCCTCCTCCTGGCCCTATAGATGTGAATAGAGTTAGAAAATGAAAAACTTATTTTGATTGAAAGTAACAAAAGTGCTTATGACATGAAATGCAAAGGGCTCAATAGCACATAGCCTAATTGCTGTTTTGTTCTTTTAAAATAGGGTGCCCAAAAGGTACTTATGGTTCAAACTGCCAAAACCTCTGTAAATGTATGAATGGAGGCCATTGCGACCCCGCGTCAGGAACTTGTGATTGCACGCCTGGTTTTATTGGAGCCGACTGTAGTAAAAGTAAGCCAACATTCATGTTCTGCTTCTTTCAAGAAACAGCAGAAAGAGTAATCTGCATAAGAGCTTGTCAGTAGAAAACCAGACAGATTCCAGCTACCTCCTCCTTGAATTGTAAATCAGGATTCCAGCTTTGTAAAAAATCTCTTGCAAAATATTTTCTCTCTCTTCTGCATGTGTAGAAGCAAAGACACTCATCCCAGGATTACAACCTGCTTGCCCAAATCTATTTCTAAAGCCAGCTCAGCATGAATTGCTCAAGTTCCTTCTTCCTGTCTAAAATTTCTAGGTTGAGAAATTAGCTCAAATATTTTGCTTCACACTGTGCTGCCATTAGTTTCAATAAATGGGAAAAAGATCAAGTTTTGTCATGGCAAAACTGGTAAAAACTTCATGGCAACTCTACTTTTACTTTTCTATTTCAGAGCTAAATAGTGTGGCTGACTTTCTGTGCTATTTCCAAAGTTACATTCTCTGTGAAGTTCTCTTCAACTTATTCACAGAAGGGCAGTGTTTTAATGTTTAGTAGTCTATAGCTTTGTTCTTCAGCATAGGACAGCATCAATATTAAAGAAAGAAGGACTTGTCAGAAGCCTTTAGCTGGAAGGATGAGCAGCTGATACTCCACTTGTACACTCTCCTTTTTGGTAGGAAACCTACTAAATGTTCCATGTGAAGCCATGGGTTATATTTATAACCTTAAGTAAAGTTTTAGAGAATTAAGCAGTTGTGTCTTTGGATGGGGTTTGGTTTCATAGTTATTGCTTTAAAGCACACTAACTGGAATAAAACCAAAGCTAATTCTAAGATCCTGCCTATGTTAAAAATGAAAACTGGCATTGGATACCCAGGGTGTTTAACAAAAGAATGTGTTTCCTTCAGCTTGCCCTGAAAATCGATATGGGAAGGACTGCACCCTGTTCTGTGCATGTGGTAAAGGTCAGTGTGACCCACGCACTGGCAAGTGTACCTGTCCTCCCGGCCAAATGGGACCCAGCTGTCAGCAAGGTAACAAAGCAGGACCCAAGGTCATCTTGTCAGTTGATGACATACTTAGAGCAACCAGCAAATAGGACTCAGCTCCAAACATTGTTTACAAGTGTGTTTCCCAATGTTTTTCCTTGATAACACTGCAGTTTTCTGTACTCTGCCCCTTGTCCCTCTCCGCTCCACCACCCTGCCTTTCTCCTGCCCATATCTCACCGCTTTGCTCCACCACATTTGGTACCATTGCACCAGTTTCTCAAAAAATCCAAAACAACTCCTTTGAGAGACTGCAGTCCAAACAGAACATAGAAAGTGAAAAGGGTAGTTTGAACCACCTGATGTGAGCAGTGTGAAGGAGCTGTGGATAGATGGGACTAAATTTAGAAGCAAATTGCTTTAGCTGAAAGAAATGAATGGCAGAGATTTGAAGAGGGCGAGTTGAGAGATGGGACAAAGGAAGAAGAGCAAAGGAAGTAAATGTGGAGTTAAGCCAAGTGAGAAGCTATGGTGAGACAAAGTGTTTGGATGAAACTGCTAATTAGCATGGAGTAGAGTGTCCCACAGCTCTCTGCAGACACAAGGCACTTGGGATACTCTGCAGGGAGCATGTGTTTGTATTTTTTCCCTGTCACCTTCATCCTTTTTTGGGATGCTAACTTTTTTTTTTTTTTTTTTCAAACTTTGTTAATTCTCTGTAGTGTGTCCCCAGGGACAATATGGCCCCAACTGCCTCCTGACGTGTACCTGTCAGAATGGCGGTATCTGTGACCATGTGGATGGCAACTGCACTTGTGGGCTTGGCTGGACAGGAAAATTCTGTGAGAAAGGTAATTTTCTGCTTTGATGATAGTGATTGTGTGCATTCAAGCAGGGGTTCACGGTGTCTACAGATACAGACCCACAAAAGGGGACAGTTTTTGGTCAAGTAGGCACCCTCCCAGCTGCATTCATGTCTTAGCTTCTCTCACACAGAACTGTCCCTAGTTAAAGCTTTAGGTCTTTTTTTCAGAGATAGTTCTCTTCTGAGTCCTGCTCTGTAAGTTTTATAAATTCCTTTGCATGGACTCTTTCTTCTCATGTCCAACTTTTCGTATTATTTTGTTCCATGGCAACATTGTTTTGTATCTTCTTTCCTATGCTCCTCCAAGGTCAGCAGAATCCTACATCACCCTCCTCTCTTGTTACTCTCTTCCCTTTGACACTGGAGTGCAGTTGAATTTCCCATGTATTGACTTCCCTGCTAGTACAGTTCTGACAACATCTGTCAAAAGCAATTGAGATTGTCCTGCTATTTCTCCCTTACTACTCCATGACAGCTTTTTCTTACACAAGACACAGCTCATTAAAATGTAATAAGTCCAGAAACCCTCCTGCCAGACCTGAGTACAGTCTTTCCACATCTTTCCTTCTGTCCATCTCCCAAAAATCATTCTGCATTTCTGTGTTCCCATTTCTCTCTCTACAGAGAGATATCTTTACAGTTATGGATTTAAATGTTCAGGAAACCATAAGTTTACTGGTATGAAATAAAAATCGTTCTGAGTTCACATTCAAGACAAATGTCACCATTACATTGTAACTGCCATGGTGCAATATACATTCCAGGCCCTGACTTACAGCCTTTCTGTTCCCGACATCACAATATGTGCACCTCAAACTCTGTACTGATCTTTTCCAGGAACTGGTCATTTTAAGGAAGTATTCGTATCTGAAGTGTCATACAGAAATTACACTTTTTTAGCAGCATTCTTTAATGTAATTGTTTCACTTTGAACCTCAGGAGAAGACTCAGAGACCTGTTTCACATATACGTGTGTGCAGAGAGAAAAGGAATGATATTAATTAAATGGAGCCACTCACAGTGTGAATACCACTATGGACAGGCACTAAAAAATGCAGTTTACCAGTAACAGGCTAACTTTGCATTGTGTAGGCCACCTGTGTTCACTTCTGTCCATTCCTTGAAATCTCTGTAATGACCCATAGGCTGCATTTGGGTTGCAAAGCCTCAGTAGGTCATGCAGGCGTCACCATGTGGAGCAGCAGGTTGCGCATGTATCTTACAGATGTGCTTAGGTTAAACATCCCTGAAGACATTGTATAAGGGACTGTCTGTTATATCACTAGAAAGAGCTTCAAGGTTTATCTTTTGAGAGAAATAACCAAATTATTGGAAAACTGAGTCTTGCTTTCCCCAGCAGTGTGGTTTTGACTGTGTTTTGACTAGAAGTCTAAGACTGCTAAACAGGCATCCTTTTTCTAGTGATTAGATATGATGTTCTTTAAAGATCTTGTCTGACATTTGCAGAGTTATGAACCTTGATTATTTGGACTGCCACACTTATTTAAGTTGGTCTGCTCAGATTCACATTATCCCAGCAGTGGGAAGTGAACCTATGCAGAAATAATGTCTAGGTTAATTATATTGGCACAGTCACTTTTGCATGACTTGACTTTCAGTAATTTGAGACATGTTTAGTTCTGTAAAAGCAGATATCTCATTATACATGGAAAGTCTCTTGCTTTTGTGAAGGAGAGATCCCCCAGTTTTGCTAGGAATTGAAATAGTCTGAACTCCAGTGGTAACACAGAGGAGGAAAAGTTTAATGTTCTCTTTCACACTTTCTGAGTGCCTAAAATAAATTATTGCTGTAGATTTAAAAAACAAACAAACAAAACAACATCAACAACAACAAAACAACAAAAACATTGATGCCATTTCCTGTGTGGCTTTACAACATGGTGTACGTTCAACATCAACTATGCTAATAGACAAATTTCACAAGATGGACTGTAAAAAGTACAAGGAAATTCCTGTCTGAATGTCTATATACTATAAAAAATTCCTATCCAAGTATGTATACTTACTATACATCATACAATACATACAATACATCATAGTTGTGCAGAAATGCTCCATCTTCATAACAAACATTCTCCTTGGGTCCGTAAGTTATTGTACGAACTATCACATAAGAGCTTCTCTGGGTGAGGTCAGTGATTATTTTTGTTTGTCTGTTTTTCTGTCCGTGTTCTGCCAGCAGAATGTCTGCCAGGGAAGTATGGGTCTGGCTGTGTCTTGGATTGCTCATGCCAGCACAATGGCACCTGCGACAGATTCACAGGCTGCTGCCAATGCCCTGAGGGTTACTATGGCCACTCATGTGAGCACAGTAAGTGGAGGCACTCCGGGTGCCCTGTTTTCCAAGTGATGGGATGTGGCGCTTCCGAGTAGTTACATAAACACCTTGCTAGTTTAGTTGAAATTTTTGGGGTGTCCCAGATCACCGTGCTGCTCCAGATCTGAGTAACTTGCATATCTCTGATGCTGGGGAAGTACAAGTTTGAAAGCACCTGGCATTGTTAGAGTTAACGGTAAATGTAATTTCTGTTGGCTCCCAGGGGATGTAGCTGAGAATACAGAGAATTTTTAAGGGATGTATGTTTTTCTTCATAAACCGTCCTCACTTGATACTTTAATTTTTTTCAGGGTGCCCCCTTGGATTTTATGGGCTAAGCTGTCTTCACGCATGTGCCTGTAAAAATGGAGCAAGCTGTGATGCAGTGACAGGACAATGCACTTGTCCTTTGGGTTATCAAGGTGTACACTGTGAAAAAGGTACTTGTACTCTTCTGATGTCAAATTAAAAAAAAAAACCAAAAAAAACCAAAAGCAAACCCAACAAAGAAAAGCCAAAACAAAACAAAAACCAAACAACAAATCAACAAATGAAAAAAAAACAAAAAAATAAACAAAAAAAAAAAACTCATGAAGCTCCATGCCATTACTGAAATACTTGTTTGTTGAGAGTAACTTCTTCCATGCTTTAAGGTTTATGAATATCCTGAAATGTTAAATTTGGGATAGTTTACCTGTTATATAGCTGGGTGTCCTCATTTTCTTATAAATTAACTAATCTGGTTCCGATTAATATGGTGAAAGTCCTGGTCTCCGTGATGTCTTGCAGCAATGAGTTCCACATGTTTATTAAAAATAAGTCCTTTTTACTGATTCTAAATTTGCTTCTAAAACTCCAAATAAGATCATTAAATAGGTGCATGTCAGACATGTTGAGTGTTATGGAATGGTCTTCAAGAGAGTTCTAATTAAAAATGAAAATAAGTGCCAGTTACATTTCTGGGACAGATTTACAGATACCTTTGATATGTTAGATTAGACAAACCCAAAATGCCTATTCCACTGTGTTGTATTCTTCATTAAACTTGGCATTTACACTAGCTTCAGTGGAGAGTTTACGGGCTTTTCTCTGAGACATCCCGGAAAATCTCCTCTGGCTTAATGTATGTCTTGCTATTCAAATATGTGTCTAAAAGAGCACTCTTGCTCTCAGGCTGTGACAGGGGCTGGTTTGGAGAGAGGTGCCAGCATCAGTGCAATTGCGGAGATGTTCCTTGTGATCCAGAGACTGGGAAGTGCCTCTGCCCACCTGGGAAGACTGGAGAAAGATGTGACATTGGTAAGAGTAATATTTTCTGACTCTGCATAGTTAAAGCAATCTGACCTGTTGTCTAAGTGTACCTATGAAGGGACATTTGCTGGTATTCAGGAACACATTGTTCATAGCAAATTACTCTTACGGATTATCAACAGCTTTATCAACAGGCTGTACCTCTTGATTTAGTCAATGTTGAAATGGATACACTGATAGAAAAACTGTTCATGGGTCAACTGTAAAATGTTATTTGCCTTGAATTTTGGGGAGCACATGCTGGTGAAGAATATACCAAGAAGCTCAGATCTCTGCAGATGTAGTGGGGAAGGAGGGATCTTACTGCAGTGTGTTTTGTCACATGGACATTTGTGACCCTTTTCAGACCAATGCAAAAGTATATCCAGCTCCAGGTTTCCTTCCCTGGGAAGGGGGCAGAATCCCTGTGATGAGGCTAGCAGAGCTGTAGCAGCTATGCCTGTCTGTAGGATTCATCAGTAGTCCACGAACATTTAATCCAAATAAAATTTCTTCATTTGCAGCATAGGCACTTGGGCTGTGTGTTTGGGAAATGGTTGCCTGCAAGAGCAGAATTATTTTGTAGGTGAGAAAATTTTCCAGCAGGGAAGACTAGTCCCACCACTTTGTCCTGATGAGATGGTGGTAGAACTGAGAGGCAGCAATGGCAGGCAAGATTCTTGGGCCAAACTCATAGTTATGATGGAGTACATTTAAGGTAATGATTGGAGTAAAAGGAATTGAAGTGGTTTAAGTAAGTGTAGGAAGAGATTTGTGATCTTAATGCTGTGGCAAACAAGGTAAAAGGAGTGAACATCCACTGGAAATTCACACTAGCAACCATAATCCTCCTGAGCCTTCAAGTCACAGTGGGGAAATAGTATTTCCCCTTTTGTTCTAGGATAGGGCAGGAAGCAGCTTTAAACAGCCTGTTGTTAATGCAAAATAGTTGCTGGGAGCTTAAGTGCCAGTGCAGCCTGCAAAACTAGAATGGGAAAGGATTTGCTTCCTTCTCCACACTGTCCTGTGGTCAGAAACCAAACCCACCAATACTGCAGGGGCTGCTCCAGTGGAGTACATTGGCCACCTCAATGGCCAGCCTGGTACTGGATATCCAGGGGCCTTCCCAGCAACATTTTAGGCAAAAGTGGAACACAAGGGGGAAGCTCAGCACCAAAAATGCAAACCAAGGTTTTGTATCTTGCAAACTCTAGTAATCATTTTTATTTTTCTTAAATCATCTGGGGTAGCCCCCATCCACGAAAAGCTGTTATGGGCTAGGTTTTATTTGCATTTTTATTTTCAATTAGGCTCAGTTCATCTGTGATATAACTGTGAGCAGCTGTGACTGTGCAGCAGCCATAAAGATAAAAGGCCTGATTTTAATTTGAACTCTGGTAAAGCACCCATTAAACAGGCAAAATGTTAATTAAAAAGAAAAAAAAAGAGAGAGAGAGAATATAACAGACTTTTATGGGCACTCTTTTTCTGTAGTAAATTAACATTGCAGACTTTCAAACAGCTGTCTTAAATACACATTGTTATTAACATGAAAATGTGGTATTACATAAATTAAAATCAGGTCCAGAGGTGTTTGAGGCGACCTTTCCTTATAACATTTGCTAATTGAAAAGGCCAAGCTCTGAGCACACAGGGAGTGTTCTCCCGTGTGTTGGGGCTGCAGCTGATGCAGGGCTTAGCCACACTTTCATTTACCTAATGGTGCTTGTGTGAGAAAGCAAACACTTTGATTATCTACAGTATTTTCTAGCGAGGTGAGGGAGAAAGGGCCGTTGTTTACAGTGTATTTAGCACCCTGCCTTGTGACCTGCTGCCAACTTTTGCTTCATGCCTGTACTCTCACTGCATTAAAAAATTGCAGTGAGGATTTATCAGCCTAGGTATGAAATGTGTTTGTAGTTGGAAGTGAGACATTTTGTGAGTTTAATTTGCCAGGAGTCAAGTAATGGGTGTAAGACATAAAAGTGTGTGTAAAATGGATTAATTTTTAATTCCCCATTCTTTGCATGAAGGCTCTTTGCTGGCACACAACTTGACAGCCAAGCCATGCAGTGGAGAGGTGCAGGAGATAGCATGGATCCAGGATGCTAATGGTAACTTTCTTGAGTCTATCTCAAGATTTTTTCTGTTGGGCTGCCGACCCCTGTTTTTACACCAGTAATGATTTCCATTCTGGGAACTCTTTTAGGACAGCTGAGCTACAGTTTGGGCAGACGAAACTTGAAGATTGCAAAGCTTTCCAAGATGTCATGGTTTAATGTTACCAGATGTGTCTAAGTAGCTTCCTGATCTCAGAGAGCAGAGAGACTACTAGGAGAACATTCACCCTCTTCCAAATATTTCTGTTCTTCTAGAATGCAGGTCAGACCAGTACGGCCCCAACTGCTCCCTACGATGTCAGTGTGCCAACAAATCCCAGTGCAATCCGTACAATGGGAACTGTGTATGTCCAGCAACATGGATGGGACCAACCTGCAAAGAAGGTAATTCAAGCTGGAGATGTGCAGCCTTTCTTAGTAGGAAAAAATCACACATTGACCATGGTGGTGGGCAGTGGACCATTTGTATGGGAGTATCAACCCACCATGCAAACATGGTGCAGGATTCCTGAGGCTACCTCCAGCACAGCTGTGCCAGAGTGTGGTACACTCTTCTATCACTGTTCTATGCCTGCTAGTATGAAATCTTGCCCTGAAATAGTTGGTATCCACAGCCTCTGTAAAACGAATAAGGGGGCTTGCTTACGGTACATGCCACCATATTTGCTTACTTTTTGTAAAGCTGTCAGGTTTTGAAGAGCATGGTGAGACATGGTAAGACAGATAAGTAGACAGAACATTGGAAAATAGATTTGGATTGATTTCTGAGCATGCTCAAAACCTCATCACCCTATCACAAAAGGGGTTTGTTTTCGGTTTTCTTTTTTGTTTGTTTGCTTTGGTTGAGGTTTTTTAGATCATTTCTATTCTTAGCAAGATATAGTTCTGAGTGAAAATTTCCTCCCACTTGTACTCTAATCACATCTGGCTTGATGGTGATACCATATAGTTCTGCATTTAGTTTAGGAAGTACCTCTCCATTTGAGAGGTGTTTTACTGTTTTGCCTTCTCTTTGCCTCTGTGAGGAGGCCAGCGTAACTCAGTCCTCTACATTCTTTTGAAGAGTACCATTTATTGAATTATGTAAGCGTAAATTGTATAATCTTTATAATATTTCAGTATTACATTATACAGACCTGAAACTGTGTTTCTACTTAATTCTATAGGTGGCCCTCCAAAGGTTCCTTTTTATGAAGAACAAACTCAAGAAAGAGGGAATATTTTTCCAAGAGCTCTACAACAGTAACATTTGGACTAATAAATGAGCTGTTTTATATGCACAGATGGTATTTGAATTTGGATATGAAAACAGTTATTCAATTCAGCTTGAATTGTACTGAAGTATTCACACTTCTTATGGAAGACTGCAGAGGCCATTTAGTAGCTGGTTCCTTTTAAAAAAGTTGAATTTCTTTCATGTATTTATTCCTAGCCTCTTACCTCTCCATTAACCTGCCCTGGACATTCTTTCTGATATAATTCATTGTTTGAAAGCTTGGACAAGTTTTTAGTAAGACCAGCTCCGAAGAGTGTCAGGGTAAGCAGTATGTAGCACATTGACATGCAGTGAGCCACACCACGTATAAGTGGCTTTCTAAATCCACTTGACAACCAGCGTGAAATTTAACAAGCATTTCACAGATTATGAAGCCACTATGGGTTCACTGCAAAATGACATTGCACAGAAACTCGTGGGATTCACCAAATTAGTTCCTTTTTGAATAACATTGTATGTTCTAGAAAAGCATTCAGTCTAATTTTACACCTGCAACTCAAGAAAAAGCCACCACAGTCCTTGATCAGTTGTTAATTAATTTATGTACTGCATTTCTAGTGTGGATTGACTGATCGGAAAGTCTCCGTCTAGATCTTGCTTACGTCTGAATCTGCCTTCCAAAGGGCATAGTGTCATCTGTCAGATTATTCTGGCTTTCTGCATCCTACCACCTTGTCAGTTGAGTTTCTTGGTATTTTGTCAAGTCAAACTGTGCAGTAGTTCTCATCAAAACAGTACTTGCTAACATAGAAAAGACTTTTATCTGGGATGGAGAAAGCAGACAGTAAGCAAGGGTAGATGTTTAAAGATAATCTGTGTTCTTTATGTAAAGGATTCTAATATGCACTTACTGCATACCTCAATTAAGTCAGCTTTAAAATGTCCTGATACCATTCAACAGCTGCTATTGGTCACTTAATAGAACAGACATTTTGGTGCTATTTTGTGTGTTTAGACACATTATTCTTTAATATAGGACTATGTCATTATACAGAAATGTTCTCTACCACCTGCATTAACCAGACTAAAACCTTTCAGAGTGCCTCTTTATACTACTTTTTAGGTTAGGAGTCACAAAATCTATGTGGTAACCTCTTGAGTCTGGCTGTATCTGAAGTGCACTTATTAAAGAGCATCAGGACCATGGTCTCAGTAGACAGGTATTACAGGCAGTACCAGGTCTTGGATTCATTCATACCGCCGTTTGCACATCATAACAAATTGCAACTCTGCGAGCAAAGATAATTGTCTTAGAAGAGACAAAGTGACAATACTTGATGCTAACCTGTGATTTTCAAAGATGATGATTGTTGTTGCTGTAGGATAATGAGAAGGTAGAGTAACAGTTTTAGCCCATTGTTTACCTCAGGTCTTAAATACATCCACAGTCAGTAACTGTCCAGTAAAAAACATGAAACACTTGCTCACCTGTGAGTTTAATTCAAACTGTGATCTGCCAGGATCAATACAAGTTTGGCTGGTATTTTTCAATGCTGGTCAAGGCTCATGATGATCCCCTGTCATTTCCTCTTCAGAGTTGTGAATCACTGGAAACTTTACTCAATGTAAATATGACAAAATTGCTGTTGTCCCAAAACCAGTCAGAAGTGTGTGGCTCTCAGCAGGGCTTTACTATCAGCTGTGGCATTTTAAATGTTCTTTTGGAGGTGTGGTGGCCTGGGTGTGATTCTACAATTTAGGTGAATTTGGGGCAATTTCACTAAACTGGAACTGATAAGGTAAATCTTGTGTGAGACAATTAGATATAATACTAGCAACTGCTGGGGAAAAACAATCCAAGTTAAGCAATTAACATATTTTGATCTTAACTATGTGCTTACCACAGAGCCAAACTACAATGGTAATGAAAACATTGCATTATATTAATGATTTTCCATAGAGTCGTAAAGTTCAGTTGTAAAGACCTGTGGAGTTCCAGGCTTCTCTACAAAACCTGGTCAACTTCAAAGTTAAATGGGGTTACTCAGAGATCCTCCACAAGTTGGATTCTGAGTGTCTTCAAGGATGAGGATCCCACTACCCCTTGAGCTTCTGTCCCAGTGGAAATTTCATGCTCATGATTTATTTTTTTTTCTTCCTGGTTTTTAATCAGAATTTACTAAGTGTCAGCTTTGGTCCACTGCTTCTCATCCTTTCAGCATGCATCTCTGTTTGTCTTCATCTCATCTACAGCCCCCATGGGGTAGTTGACAACAGCAGTAATGCCTCCCCTTGGCCTTCTTTCCTGAAGACTGAGCAAACTCTGCTCCCTCAGACCCACCTATATCAGCCGAAATACCTTGATGGCCTTCCACTGTTCCAGTATGTCGGACATTTCAGTCTAGCGAAAGATGCCCAATGACTGATGTGGTTACTCAGCAGCTAATGCATAAACCCCAGAAATTACATTTTGCTGTTTGACAGCAGTTTATAAAATGTACTGTTTTTTTCTTATCTGTGTATACTGATCTGTGATTACAGTAGCTAATTAAAGAGGAAACCTTTCTCAAGCCATAGTATTTACATGTGTGTATAGTTGTTTACATTTTCCACAGTACCTTGGTAATAGAATGTAAATATATAGTATAAAGGAAAGAAAAGATTTTTGTATTAAGTATTTTTAAGGAATGTCACAATTTTAAGTACATGATGAAACACATATTTTAAGTGACTGATACTGAGCCCGTGCCAATGAATGAGAGGCCCAAGTAGATCTGCCTGGGAAATATTTCAGCAAACTTTTTATTTAAATCCAAAAATGCCAATTCATACAAAACCATTTGCATATAATAATTTTTTTTATTTATTCCTCCTTCAAAATACTTCTTGGCTTCTTTATATTATTGCCTTGGGGAAAGAAGTTCATTTCTGTGCCATTAAACAGATCATTCTGATTCAGGGCTCAATATGACTGTTTCAGAGTACACTCATATAAGGGTAAAAATCAAAAATATTTAAAAAATATTAAAATATTAAGTTTGGGTTTTGAACTTTTTTTTTTCTTGGCTCTCTGTGGAGGTATTCACTTTTCACAAGGCAAGGAAAATGTTTACGGGATGTTGTTTTCTAGAAGAAGAGCCAAAACTTTATGTCATTTTCTATTAATTAAGGAAGTTTACTTGCTTGCAATGTCATTCGTATGTTGTGATTCTGCTCCTTACTGCAGATTAACAAGAGTACCTAATTCTCTGCCTGCAAAATAGTCTTTATTGGATAGCATGGACTTTTTTTAATAGAAAGTCGTCTAAAACAGCCTTTCCGTAGGTTAATCTTGTGGCGAGTGCAGCTCCTACTAAAATAATACAGCTGCTCATTTGCTTCATCACATTCCAGTGAAAGACAGGCTGATACTGTCCTGAACATAGCACTGGAGCTGGTTGAAAATTAAAGCAAAAACTTCAGGGTTTACATTTAAATTTACGTCCATGTTCCACTTTGTAGGAGACTTTCCTGGCTGTCCATTTCCCAGAAGGCTGAAGTTAATTAGACTTTCTCAGAAAGAGCACTGTCTGTATTCCACTGTAGTATGCTTGCATGCATAGATAAAAAATTCAGAAAGACATTCAAATAATTTTGGCAATGCAGTTTCTGTGCCAAATCCCACTCTCTTACCTTGTTGTGCCTCAGATAACTTCAGTTTGAGAAGAGTCGAAGTGACATGAGTGTAACTCAGTGGGTCCAGCAGAATCATACTCAATGTGAATTCATGAAACCAGGACATGTTTTAAGTTAGTCTTCAGTATTTATAACACAATCCTCATAGGAAAACAATCAGAATTTTCAAAATCCCCACTTCCCCTGCCAAAAATTATTATTCTACTTTCATCTTTTTGATGTTGAGGAACCATAGCTATTAAAGTTTGCCCAGATTCCTTGCCAACCATATTATTTTGATTGGCTTCGGATTTCTGTTTGTGTGAGTAATAACCATCCTAGTGTCAGGAGTAGCCAGTGGGACAAACATGGAAATTATACCTTTATGTAATTCCCAGAAGAGCCAAAGACACACTTTGGAGCCATCATGGCTTCGTACTGTTGGTCTAATGGTGACAAATAATAGTTTAGCTTCTTATCAGAGCAAAGAAAAGCTTAGGGAGAGTTTTTGAGAGAACTGATGGACCAAGAAACCTCCATCCTCCCTCCTTTGTATGAATTTTATGTATCTGTATAGTTAGGCTAGAAACCTTCTCAGTGCCCAGTTCTTTAAGAACTTTTCCTGCATATTGACCTGTGGATAACTGCAGCATGAGCTGCAACTGTTCCCAGTAATTTTTTGCAGTGTCAAGGCTTTAAATTCTAACACTGTGTAAAGCAATTTCCAGTTGTACACACCAAATCTCAAATTTGTAGAGCATAAATTGATCATTCTGTCTTTTTATTGTTTTTAATAAGCACTTGCATAGCAGTATTATGTCTTTGTGAATTTGTAACCCCTCTTCAAAGAATATGTGGGATATATCGTGAAACTGTACTGTACTTTCTGTTGTAGACATATCATAGTGAAAGGACACTGATTTTTTCTTTTTTATATAAACATGTCTTTAAAACTTGTTCCTGTTTTCTCCTTATTGATAGTCTTAAAGCAATAGGCTTCACATTCAGAGCAAGCACACTGCAATCACACCTGCTTCTAGTAGTTTGTATAAAATAATGGCCTATACATAAATGGGTTTATATGTGATCCCTGATTAGACCAACTTGTCCAGTGACCGAGCCTGGTAAATAGACGTTTCTGGCACTCAGACTCCAGAGTATTATAAATATTCAAAGCATAGCATAAATCTTGCTTGAAGGGGATGGTTATGGAGTGTAGCATTTCTGGAAGACTTGGGCATGAAACACTTTGAAAGCATTTGAAGCTGCACACCTGCAGGCTTCCATCAGCCTTCTTGGACACTTCCAGAGCCAAATAGCCACTGAACAAATAGCCTGGTTCACCTTAAGAGTATTGTCTTCTCACACTGGCAGGAGCTAAAGGAACACATGTAACTGTTTAATGCCAAATA